AGGGTAAAGCGTATTGACGCTCAAGGAATGTAGCTGGGTGACGCTTCATTTCCCACCCGCCACTCCGCCTAGCCGCTTCGCCATGCAAACAGGTTTCCGTACGTAAATACTTTCGCAAAGGTCCAAGCTGTGGAGACACGGTCGGCGAAGGTGAAACGACTGCATCCCCTGGTTCTGCCAAAATTGCAGCAACTGACTATGACGCCCAAGGAGTTCGCCAAGCTTCAAGCCATGTGTACCACTCTGACGCGGGTGAGGGAGAAGGTGACTTCCGGGGAGGAGGCTCAGGCTAGAGATGGGTCTGTTTACAAGGTTGTTTGTATTAATGGTCTGTTATGTAGGTCTTGTGTGTCATCCAAGCAACCAGCCAAAGTGGGTCAGTTTTTACTGGTTGTCCCTGCTGAATGTCGTAGCAACATTCTTACTGTAGCTCACGAAAGCCCTCTAGCAGGACACTGTTCTTGTAGGAAGACTTTGTGAAGGTTGCCGACCAGTTTTACTGGCCAGGTATGGGAGCGGATATTAGAGCCTTTTGTAGGAGTTGTGATCAGTTCCAGCGTATGTCCGCCAAGGGTAGAGTCCGTCCCGTTCCTCTTAAACCCTTACCCATCATTACAGAGCCATTTTCTCGGGTAGCCATAGATTTTGTTGCACCGTTCTCACCCCCTTCCTCTAAAAAGCCTAAATTATATCAAGCTAATTTGTTAAGGAAATATAATTGCAGGGCCCACATTAACTTTGCTCGTGTCCTTGACGACGTTCCCAAGCTCGAGTCAGTCGAGGCACTACCCTGCAAGAGTTCCTGTGAAGTTCAGGCGCCAGACTCGGATGATCTTGGTTGCCAGTTACCGATAAAACCGGACGGGATTTAAGAATCCTCTACAACTGCCAATAGGCCCAAACTTAAACCTGGACTGAAGTGGATCCCACGTGCAGTTCCTTGATACGGCCTTACGATATTTGGACATCAAGTTCCCACTTATTCTTTTTAATGTGACCATTCTCTATTCTTTATTTTGCTCTGTATATTTAACCATTTGTTGTAGGACTATTAAATGTTTTGTTGTATTAATCTTAAGTTTTAATGTACCTTACAGTAGATTGTTGTTGGGGAGCTGTGTAAGGGCGGTAACGAGCAGGATGGTTGTCCGCCACTCATTTGCGGCCCCCACTAGGGGGGGTAAACGGAGGCGAGAAGGTCGCTGCTGCTTCGTCACACATCAGACACTACCCAGCCAGCACCACAGCTGCACTTCCCCCGCTGTTCGTTCAAACGCTGGTCGTGTACTCATCTGAGGCTCATGGGGCTCGTGGGCTGATTCCCCAGTCCTTCACTATTCGGCTGTCAATCTCCGGACACCCACTCCAGCTACTACCGCGGCTGCCACGTCATCGCCACTTCCCCCACGCCCTAACCACAGTCCGTGCCCTGGTGTCTCTCCTGTGTGGCAAGACATCGCCCACCAACACCGGCGCCAAGTGAGGAAGCTGCCCTGAACCTTCCCCCTGAAAATGGACCACCTCGTTAACGGAACATTCCACCAGGCTGCCACAGTAGGAAATATCTGTACATTGTTTGACTTCCTTAATTGTTTGACTCCATTAATTGTTTGACTCCCTTAATTGTTTGACTCCATTAATTGTTTGACTCCCGTAATTGTTTATTTGATATTTGTGTGAGTGGTGTCAATTATTGTGATTATTTTCGTTGTAAAGAGATGTCAATCTCTATCGGTTGTTTGTTACCCCTTGGAAACCCATGGTTCTTGATTTTCCTTTTATAAGATCCTGATTAGGCTGGCATGGGATTTATATCCCAAAGCCAAAGCCTTTACACACATGATGATTTGTACACTTCTAAGCTGTTTTCCCAATCCATGGGATGATTATTGTTCCTAACATGAACGAACAGTGCACTGCTTTCAGCTGTAAACGCCTTCTGAGCGTTTAAAGGTTAATCAGACTCTTCACGTTAAACTCGAACGTTATAATTCGGTCAAACCTGATGAAAATAATTCATTTTAGTATTTCAAATAAATCATACATAAATGTTTAATGCAATATATATTCACATAACAATCATATCTATGTAATTAGTCTAATCTTAACACTTATAATGAGTACTTAATTTACCATATTTCTATGTTGTCACAATGATAACTGATGCAATGGACTCAGTCTACTTGTGTAAACAATAAGTACAGTACAAGTTAAACTTACGTGTTGAAAGTCTCAAGAGAAACAGGTTAGGTGTTGACTGTATGATGGGGATAGTACTGTTCTGATATTGTACTTGGGCTGTTTTAATTCTGAGTTGCAATGCTTTCCCAGTTTGTCCTACATAATTTCCATTACAGCTGCTACACGGAATGCAGTAAACACTTCCATTTACATTCAAGGTTGGGCTATTCTTGATTAATATATTGGTAATAGTTGAGTCATACTTACAAGTAACATTAATATTTAATATAATTTAAGGGACTGAACTAACGGGACAAATTCATTACGATAAGGCAGTCAAAATATTCTTAAATGTAGGAATTTGCCTGGTTTGAGTAGAATGAAAGGATTTTTTAGCCCTTTTAAAACAATGATCAACAAACAATGAAGGGTACCCAAGTCTCTGTGCAATGGACTGTATGTGTGTTGCAAAATAAGTGATGTTTATACTCAGATTAATCACTATCTTACAAGAATTCCAATTACCTGTATACAAGTTATATTCTCATAAGTCAAATCAGTGACATTTTATAAGGTTAATCTATCCTCCATGGGGGTGGGGGGTAAAGTGACCGTGCCACCCCCCTCCCACAAGGGTCATCTCACTGTTTGTCTACTGTACTGACTCATTCATGATACAATATTGTTTATTAGTTTTTCATTAATAAGTACAGATAAGTTACTGTAATAATCTGTGTTTATTAATACATGTACCCTTCATATACAATACAATATAGTACTATGTACTGTTTTACCTCATAGGTAAAAAATATTGTAATGTCATTCAAGACATTCAGGTCATAAGACCCAGTAATCCCCCACCCAACACTGGGTCAGGTTAGTAATATGACCCAATAATCTCCCACCCAACCTTCATTGCACGTGTTAAGACGATTAGTTATGTACAGTATTACAGTCAGTTGAGTGAAAAGTGTAACAGACGTGACTGATCGCCCAAGAGACCAACGAGGCGATCAGTGGTGAAGAGGATAAAAGTAACAACTCTATTCATGCCCATATCATATAGAGCATTTTTTTTTATTATTTAACTAAACCTTTAGATAAAGTATTCAGGATCATTTTAATAAATAAAAGGTGTGTCTAACGAAATTAGAACTGATTTTACTGACTCTGGTATCAACATTTCTTTTTTTTATAAAAGAATGGAATTCCCATCACTATATCATATAGAGATATTTCGTCTAAGGATATCTTATTGGAAATGTTTCGTAGAGAATTTATTAAGGATCATTATGGTATCAAATTCATTTCCCTATAACAATTAGCCACGCTTGAGTGAGGAGGGAGTGACTGTGTGACACTCCCCCCACCCACCAAAAAGGTTCACTTCCATTAACACACCAACACCACCTACACATCACACATACACCACCACACTCTCCAACAACCACACTCCCCAACACCACTCACACGCCCCAGCAAGGGAATTAAGACACATCTGGGTGTGTGTAACTGCATGGTAGCAAGTTAAATATCAGCACTTGAGGAGTGCTTGGCAACACTCCTCTCCACCCCATCTCTCTAATCACCTACACCTTTCTGCTTTCTCACTCCATATTTTAAAATGTTATGTAATGTAATGTAATGTTGAAGGGATACAACTTTGCTCATTTATACTTATACTTTTCACAATCTTGCAAAAATACTTTAGGTTTCATGTTTATTCAAGACATTTTCAGGTCATGAGACCCACTAATCCCCCACCCAAGAAAAGGTGACCTGACATTCTATCAGGTCAGTAATATAAGACCACTAATCCCCCACCCTACCGCCATCTGACATTGTGTAAGGTCAGGTACATGAGACCCACTAATCCCCCACAGTTCCATGGAAGTGGAAAATACCAATCCTTGCTGTAACACAAAGTTTTATTCATGTCCATATCAGAAAGATTTTTAATTTTCAAATATATTTATTTCACCAAACTTTTAGATAAACTATTCTGGATTATTATAGTAAAGCAATAGAGATTCTAACAAAATTAGAACTGCATTTACAGACTCCAGTAGTTTAGACTTAATGAAAACATCCCCAGCACCTAGAAGCATTCTGGGGAAGTGGGCTAGTGTCTGTGTGTGCAAGATGTCTAGTTTAGAGACTCGGAAACTTTTACCAGTAACCGGAAAATATTTCGGGGATGAGAAATTTTTCCGGGTTTGAGAAAGTTGTCTGGTTAGCCCGGAAATCTCTCATCCTCGGAAGTGCTCTGCATCAATTTTTCTGGCTAAAGGGGATATCACTGTGCAAAGAATATGTGAAACCTACATATTAAAATTATGAAGCTAGTTGGAAACTATCTCATCATACGTCTGGCAGCCCTGAGAGTGGTGCAGGAAAATATGACACCTCATGGGACATTTAAATTGAATGTTTCATGTTGTATCATTTACCATTTTATTCAGAAAATTTTGCTTGATTTTTTAGAAAATTTAGATTATCTTAAATATTTCTTTCTGAATTTCTTAAAACCCCGTGTGGGGGATACCACAGCAAAAACCACCCCCTGAGGCGAAAGGGCTAAATGAGGGGGGATATGGTGCTACAGTTGCTCTAAAGGCAGGAAATCTTTCAGAGCGATGTCTGCCCAACTAGTACACACACCCACCGTGTTAAGGCTTCCTGGCTATACCAACTTTTACAAAATAAGATTTCCAGATCGATTCCTCATATCTAGCCTACACCTTACATCAAGCAGCTCTCATAACTAAAAGTTGACATTTATCTTGCCAAACAGGATTTTCAGTTAATGATAATTTCTGAAAAAAAAAAAAAAAAACAGTATTCATATTACAGAAGTCAGGAAGGTACCACTATGAACAGAAAAGTGAACCTAATCCACAACCAACCATAAAATTGAAGAGGGCATAAAAGTATTTTTTAATGACTTTTGGGACAAAACACGGAAGAAGCTTTTCATGAACGTTGAGCAGAAACATAAAGTGATTCCTGTTAGACCAAAGATGGGTTATTTAGAATCAATTTAATGAAACAAAGACTTCTGATAACCTCAAGTAAACAAAAAAAGGGAAGAAATACACAAATCTGGTCTTAACATTCCCAAACCATAAAGAAAACAAGCATTTTACAGTTATGACCATCAACTTGAGGGAGAGGTAAGGTAAAAACTAATTATGTGCAATTTTTGGCCATTCCTGAGGAAAAAGGAATGAAAAGAAATAGCATACCCCCCCCGGTGCCCTTATTGGTACCATTTTCTGACAACTGCAGAGGCCACCGCGTCTTTTTTTTAGCCTTTACATAAAGCCTCTTACAAATTTACTAAATGTATCATCAAATAAATTCTTGTACTCATAAGACATTCCACTATCAAGACGAAGTATGGAATACTGTAAATAATCAGGACCTTCAACAGTGTCCAATCTTGTCAGGTACAACTGAAGGCTGTGATGCTTCTTACAACTGCAGTCAATGCACCAAGTTAGCCTGAAAAGGAGAAAAAAAAATCATGTTGGAACCATTGGAAGGTTTACAAATTGTGCCTCTGAGACACCACTAATTCAATGTAAATTCTTTAAATTACTCACTTTTCCTCAAGTTTAGGTCTTTATAGGTTTTTATATTGAAGTCTATAAAACTTCTTCATAGTATGATATTAAATATCTATATTAGTAACCTTAGATCAAACAAATGCAGCAGTTCCTTACAACAAAGACATAATAAAAATATGGTAGGTAGGTTGGGAAAACAAATAAGTTTTAATTTTTGTAATTCAGGTTATTTATGAAATTTGGTAGAAATTAAGAGCTTGGCAATTTATTTTTGTGTATACTGTATCTAACATGTTTAGTTTTACTATACAGTATATACACTACCTATATCAGCTGTGTTTAACCCTTCTTTTTATCACTCCAGTCGAGGTGGGACTGTAACAGGAAATCGACTTGCTAAGACTTGAGATCAAACGTGGGACAACAGGTAGGTACAGTGTACTACCGCCTGGGAAGATATTGGAAGCATAATGTGTTGTCTAAACCGACTTTTTTATTATTATTATTGTTATTATATTTTTGCCCCAGGCCCCGATGTGGTTGAGTGACCTATGCCCTGGTAGGCTAATCCCGAAAAAAAAAAAAAAAAAAATCACCTCTCATACACAAATTCTATATTTTGGTATTCATTGTGGATTAGTTTTACCTTTTACAGGATCAATTTTGAAGGTTTGGCAGGAAAAATGAAGGACTGATCCCGAAATCACATTTTATAAAGAGCATGAATCAAACTTTTTATAAGTGGTGGTGGGACATGTGTGGTGAGCTCTGTGTTTTTTGTTGAAAAACAGGGTCATTCCGGGAGTACCCAGTTCTGGATAATGGGGGTATCACTATTATACTCAGGCATTTCTTAATAGTAAAAAGCAATTACTATGGACCTCAGACTATCTCCTAATATCAAGTGCACATGCCTTTAAAATGGCCTGAAATTACCTATGATATTGGCAGATTTAAAAAAAATTAAAAAAGGGGAGGGGGACGGGGGAGAGAGATACAGAGTCCCCCGACCCCCCAGCTGGGATGGCTCGCTCTGCTAGCTATGTACCCCCCCCCCCCTAGGTTTTGAATTAGTACTACTGTACATTGGGTCACCCTTTGACAGTCTTCGAAAGAGTTTCCCACTATCAGCCGATCGTCTAGATAAGCAAAAGTTCTCATACCCTCCTTCCAAGGATCTCTCTGGGGATGTTCGCCAGTTTTGTAAACACTTTTCGCGCAATTATTAGACTGAATGGCATCCCTGTTAATTGATAAACTTACATCCCCCACTGCGAACACTAGAAACTTTCTGTACCTGGAAGCAACAGGCACATGATACTAGGCATCTTTAAGATCCACTTTTGAGATCCAAGCATTGGGAAGAAGTAAATGCTTCAGATGATCATAAGTGAGCATCTTGAATTTTTTTTTTTTTTTAATATGAACTTGTTCAGGACGGAAAGATCTAAAATCCACCTCAATTTCTCGCTGCCTTTCTTGGAGACTGGGAACAGGCGAGACATGAAACACTTCTCTGACTGCAACAGTTCTATCACACCTCTGTTTAACAGTTGAATTACAAATTCTGTGAGTAAGAGGATTGGTTCTGACCCCTTTTTGGTAACACTAGGGGAGGGCGCCTCAACCAAGTCCATGTGAGGCCCCCTTTGATTGTCTTGTACGCCCATATGGAAGAAGTCCACCTGCTTTCCCAACCCTCTAGACGACGTTAACACTCTTGGGTTTGGCTAGGTTCTCTCCCGCGAGAGAGTTGTATGTAATTAGTTATAGCAAGCTTGCTATTTGAGACAAAAAGTTGGAATTCGTTGCATTAGCATTGTAAGTAACTTACCTAAAAAAAGATTACCTGTACTGAGTAATCACGATAAAATAATTATTTCTATACGTAAGTGTGAATAGAACTCAAATTTTTATTTACGTTTATGAAAATTTTTAAATCTATATACCTTTGTTATCTCACGTGATTGCAATATGAACCTTATTCCATGATAAAGCATACATACTTAGGTGAAAAAGTTAAAGAAGAAAAGTTGTGAAAAATTAATATTTTCTAGTTAATAGAGGTGTAAATTTGTAAGTCCGATTCCATCCTCAATGCAAAAGCACCCTTACCCATATAGAACATTAAAAGTGGCATTTTTGCACTGAAGGGATCAGTGGAGATAGTCTACTAGCCCCTTGTGTACTGGGTCGCCTCTGAGCTGAATAAAATCGTCTGGCATATAATAAAACATTAAAAGTGACGTTCCCATAGTGAAGGGGTTAAGATTTATGTTTGACTGTAATAAATCAGTGTCATTAATTTTGAATGCTTATTTTCATTAACTGAGTACAGGGGTGTTTACCTTCATGAAACGCTTGCAGTAAGACTCTGGTAGAGCAGGAACATGCTGTAGGTCCTCAACTGAAGTGAATTTGCCATAAAGTGACCTGCAATAAAGAGACAGTATGTACTACTGTACATTTAATAATTTTCCTTATTTGTCAAAGGAAGGAGGCCAGTGTTTTCCCTTCATTGTTCTTGATAATTTGTCCAGGACTATTTTGAAGCCTAGTACAGGTATCCTCCCATTTAATGATGGGATGTGTTCCTGAAAAACCCAACATTAAGTGAAATTATTGCTAAATGAGAGATAACTAGTAATAATATCCTGGAGATGGTATGTTACCATTGTTACATGTACTGAAACTATCAAAGTTGTGGAAGAATCATTATGTTACTGTAATGTGGCTTATGAACAAAGAAAATATAATATATAACTAAAAAATAAGAATAATGAAGGGCATGGGTGTGTATGTTTGGCAAGTGAACGAGACAAGTTAGAATGTTACTGTAGCTACATCCCCTAAGCTCTACCCTTACCAGGCCAAGCGGTGAGCTGTTTTATCGTTATTTTTCAACTTATAACTTTGGGTAGATATAAAAAATTATCTTCATATTTTTTACTGTTATATGCTCACACAATTAATTTGTTCATACAGAATGCGAAAACCAAAATTATCATAAGATAAAAATATATAAAAGGAATAAATGCTTCTTATGTGTACTCAGTTCACACACAGAGTGGGGGGGGGGAGGGGGAGAAAGAAGGGGGAGGGGGAGAAGAAGAGGAGGAAGGCGAGGGGGGAGTGGGGGGAGTGGCATGGGAATCTCAGCTGCTCATTGTTTTGTGTAGTGAAATAATTGCCAGATTTTCTTTTATTTGTCTTCACAGTATTTTTATCTATTCCTCACATCTATTGGCACAGTATACACGCAACACAGTTCAACCGGCCAGTCACCCAGTTGGCTCAAATGATATGTGTGACTGCTACATCACTTAAGGGGAGGAAGAGTGTGACTGGCAGCAGTTATAGCTCACTGCCTCAATACATACATTCACTTGCCACATACACACACCTTCATGCTCTTAATTTCTCATATTTTATAGTTTTATATTAAATTTTTTTTATTTCTATGCCAGAGTATTAAAATGATTTTTGCACAACTTTTACAGTATCATTACATGTAACAGAAGCAACACGCCATCTCACAGGCCACCTCATCCCAGATTTTCCCCTCGTAGAGATGATCACTAAACCGAATTTTGACCAATTGTTAAACAATAAAAGGCATTAAAATTTTTATATCACTAAACCTATCATCCAGGGGTTGATGCCATTAGAACTTGTGTTCACTTAGTTCAATAAATACAGTACAGTTGGTCCTCATATTACGCGGTCCCGCATTCCGCGTTTCACCGTTAACGCGGTGCCTTGCCAGAACCTAACATTTTCACATTCCGCGGTCGTGAACCCCATTACGCGGAGAGCGGCTGGCAAGCCGCGCCATTTTTGGATCCAAACCTCCCGCCATCCGCCATGTTGTGTAAGAGGCGCAAAAATGGTGCGCACAAGGTCGCCCAGTCATCAAAACATGACCAGTTCTTCACCCGCCACCCACTACAGCCGGCCCAAGTCAGTGATAGTGATAATTATAGTGAGGATATGGACTTATATGAACTTTGGGGGGTTTGACAAAGAGGCCCTGCAAGCCTCTGTGGTGGATAGTGATACAATTGATACAAGTGATACAGGTGAGGGCCAATAATCTGCCCTCTGCCTCGGAACCAACCGCCCATCCCCGTGTGCCCAGCCATCTTTTCTACTAATGTAAGTGTTAAAAAACCTAATATTATTGATATTTCTCTTAATTATTAATTGTGTGTGCATGCCATCATAAAGTTAAGATAATATTTTTACTACAACATAGTTGTGTGTCGTCAAAAAGTGGAGTTTGGGGATCGGCCCGGACTCCATTTCAATTAATCCCATATGTTATGTTATTCACTTTACGAGTTTTCTCACTTTCCGCGGTACCCTCCGGGTTACATTAACCGCGTAATATGAGGACCAACTGTACTTAAATACTGTACCGTAACAACGTGTTTACCAAACTTAAATGAATTACAGTAGGGTAGGGATATAAAGCGACTTTATATAACGTTTTTTTTTATATCGCGGCTTCCAAAATTATCAAAAATTTTCTATATATAGAGATAATTTTGTTTAAATTACGAGGGAAATCAGGCAGGTAATATTTCAAATTTATCATGACTACCAAAATTATCGAAATTTTCCTAAAATCCCCTAAATCGCCCCAAAAATAAGAGTTGAAAACTGTACAGTATTTAAATGTACTATAAAGAACAAAAATTTTTATCTCTTGTGCAAAATATATGATATCTATATTCAAATTATTCGCCATCTCGTAAGGATTCCAGCAATGCAATTTATATTCTGCTAACTTTGGATTGTGTCATTTCATGTCAAGTTTAGTCACCTTTATTGGCCTCCAGAACCTAGCCCAATTTTCCCCATTGATTACATGTAATTATATATCGCAATTTAGTATATAGCGAACATCCTTGGACCCCATCTCGCACCCTGGACAGGCTATAGGCATGGACTATGGAGAACAAGGTCACCATCAACCACACCAAAACCGTAGTCACGCACATCAATACCGCCACCACTCCAGTGCAAGCCCCAGCAGTCACAGTGGGTGCCCATCCTCTCCAGCTGGTGCAGTCTGCCAAACTCCTGGGTGTAACTATAGACAACAAACTTGACTGGAAGGCCCATGTAAATAACACAGTCAAGGCAGCCTCGTACCGTCTCTACATGCTACGAAGACTTAGGTCACTTGGGACACCCACGCCAGAGCTGAGGACCATCTACAACGCCTTTAATCTCCCCAAACTAACATATGCGTCACCAGCCTGGTCGTCTTCTCTCAACTCCACCCAACAACGCCAGCTAGAGAAGGTACAGAAAAGGGCCTGCAGAATCATGCTCGGTGCAGAATACTCCGGCTACACCAACGCTCTCTCCACCCTGGAAATGCCATCCCTCAGTGACCTCCACCACCAAGCACTGGAAAGGTTTGGCCGTGGACTACTGCACCACCCTCGCCATCGCCACCTCCTGCCACCTGCAGCCCCCCACCCAACTCGCTCAGTCCGCCACTACAACAAAATTCAGCCCAGAAGAGCCCGCACCGATAGATATAAGAACAGCACCATCCCATCTATTGTTAAAATAATAAACAACTCCTGATTTATGTACTGTACAGCCCTGTAAATGTATTCAATGCATATTATATCATTATGCCTAAATCAAATGTAAGTCCGTATATTTTCAGCCACCGGCTGCAACTCTATTAATAAACCATTTATTATTATTATTATTATTATTTATATCCCGACCCCACTGTACGTGATATCTCCGTGAGCCGAAAAAATTGGTGCAGAGCACTTCCGGGAATGAGAGATTTCCGGGTAACTAGACGACTCTCTCAAAGCCAGAAAAAATCCATCATCCCCGTTATTTCCTGGGTAATGGAAAAATGTTTTCTGTAATTTCTGGAAAATGCGCCTAATTTTCATCTCTCAAACCCGGAAAAAAAACTACCCCATCCCCGGAATTTTCTGGGTACTGGGAAAATTTTCATGGATTTTTCTGTAAAATGTGCCTCTCGGAAAATTTCAATTCCGGCTATTGGAGAGTTTCAGATTTGAGGGATTCCAGCCGACGGAGATATTACTTATTCGTGTTCCCCAGAGGTAAGTGTAACCACATTAGGAATACATCTTTTTATATATAGTGGTATAATGACCTCTTAATGCAGAAATAGTTCGTGTTCTCTTCTCAGGAATGCATTCAGATTGCTAACTGGGGCATTACTGCACAGGAAAACCTCCGATAGCGACGGTTCTACTAACGACGATTCATATTGAAGACCCTGGTTAATTTAGGACCCAATTCAATTTACACCATTATTTTCTTCATATTTACAACAATAGAGAGAATAAAAATTTAATAAAATTACATTTTCATAAAAATAATACCTAAATCCTGATGTTTATATAAAAAAAAAAAAAAACGCCTTGCACACGGAGTCTGCTGGGCTTGTTAGTGGTGAAACCAGAATCACGAGTATAATCAGGTAGCAGCCTGGCGGGCCATTTGTTTTTACGCATCTGAACAGGAAAAGAAGAAAAACATTCTCAGGTTTCTTACAGCATTTTTGCATCCCAATTTAACATGAGCAAGGGAGCAAGTGATGGTAGTGCTGGTTCAAAAGCTAAAAGAAAGTGCATACGCTTAGCCGAGAAACTAGATGTGTTAAAACGATATGAAAAAGTGAGAGGTATGTGGATATTATATGGAGCAAGCAATGAACATACAGTAATACAGTGCATCCTTGTATAATGTCGTCCCTTAACGTTGTTTCAGTACTACGTCGCTAATCTTAAGAGATCAAGAATTTGTTTAATATCCTGATACTATGTCGTTTTGCGTCGTCACAGACTATTTTCTACGGCGCATCACCCGCTCTTGTCTGGCCGCGATACGCTCTCTCGGCTCGGAGCGCTGCCCTCACTAGCGGAACTTCACATGGCGAGAAGTCTCCATTAGATCCCTCAATTCTGCATGATTTTGAGGGATTTGAGGAAGAAGTGAAGTTGGACAAGGAGATTGTGTCCATTGGTTAGTCAATGGGCCTCGAAGTGGAGGAGGATGATGTGGAAGAGCTTGTGACAGCTGACAGTGGTGAGGAGGAAAGGGAAAGTGATGACCATTTGTCTTCTTCAGATTTAAAAGATGTTGTTCACTACTGGGAGAAGTTCAGGAAACTGGCTTCAAGGCACCCTGATGTGGAAACAACAGAACCTATTTTGTGTAATGCTGAGGACAAAGTGCTCTCCTTCAAAAATCAGCTAATGATGAGGAGGAGAAATGCCCCACAAAGAAAAATTGACAGTTTCTTCTCTAAAAGGCAGCGGGAGAAAGATGCTACCCCTCAGACTTCCACTTCAAAAAGGAGAGAGGATTTTCCTGCTGGAGGATCTGTTAGTCCAGAGGTTCCTGACATTTTTATGGAAGGTGACTTGCCTTCCAAGAAGCATTAAAATGCTTCTCCTCCAACCTCACTTCCTTCTCTTCTCCTCCTCTACCTCCCACTTCAAATTCACATCATCATCATCAACCAGGAGCCTTCTACATACACACCTCAAAGTAAGTGTACTTTACTGCATTTTTTTTACTTTGTATGTAATTTTCGGTGAGCTGGAACCAATTACCCAAAATCCCATTGAAACAATGGTTTCGGTTAATGAACGACCCTCTAGAACGAATTGAGTTCATTAACCGTGGGACCACTGTATACAGCTCGTCCCGGATTTACGACGGGGTTAGGGACCCAAATCCAGGTCATAAGTAGAAATAGTCGTAAGTCGAAAATGCATATATAAAATATAGAAAATCATAGAAAATCTAAAATTGGTGTCTCTTTTTCTTCTCAGCACCACAAAACTCTCACTTTTAAGCTTGCCAGCCATTTTAAAGTGAATTACAAACGAAAATTTTCTGTGTACTGATGTTTGGACTCGAAAATACGAAATTTGACAAAATTTTGGTACGACTAAGGCAGGTCGTAAATGTGAGTGGTCGTAAGTCGAGTAGGCCATAAATCGGGGAGGAGCTGTAGTACTATGTATATACCTCAGAGGTACAAAATTATGTCATTCACGACATTCAGGTCATAAGACCCACTAATCCCCCACCCAACACTAGGTGACCTGACGTTGCATCAGGTCAGGTCAGGTCAGTAACATGACCCAATAATCTCCCACCCAACTTTCATCACAAGTGTTAAGACATTATTATTTATGTATTACAGTCAGCTGAGTGAAGTGTGTAACAGAGACGTGACGAACACCAAAGCGACTAACGAGGCAATCAGTGGCGAAGAGAAGAAAAGTAACAACTCTATTCATGCCGGTAGCATATAGAGCTTTTGTTTTTTAAATATAATTATTTAACCAAACTTTTAGATAAAGTATTCAGGATCATTTTGATACAAAAATGGTATGTCTAACGAAATTAGAACTGATTTTACTGACTCTGGTATCAACATTTATTATTTTTTTTTTTACAAGAATGGAATTCCCATCACAATATCATATAGAGATATTTCGTTTAAGGACATCTTATTGGAAACATTTTGAAGAAAATTTATTAAGGATCATTATGGTATCAAATTCATCTCCCTATAACAATTAGCCACGCTTGACCTAACCTAACCTAACCCAACCTAACCCCCCAAAAAGGTTGACTCCCACACTCTTCAGCTAAACATTGCACACCAACAATATACCTACACATCACACACACCCACTCCAATAACCAGCCACACCCACACACATCCCAACATCACACCCACATGCACTCCAACACCACTCACATACCCCTAACAAGGGAATTAAGACAGCAGACATAAGGAGTGAGGGTCTTATTGTGTGACAAATTTGCGTGTGTGTGACTGTGAGTTAAATACCAGCTGTTGGGGAGTGCTTGGCAACACTCATTTCCACTCCATCTCTCTAATCACCCACTCCTTTCTTCTTTCTCACTCGATATTTTAAAATGTTATGTAACATAATGTTGAAGGGATACAACTTTGCTCATTTATACTTATACTTATCACAATCTCTCGAAAGATACTTTAGGTTTAGTGTTTATTGGAGACATCTTCAGGTCATGGGACCCACTAATGCCCTGGCCAAGAAAGGGTGACCTGACATTCCATCAGAAGGTCAGTAATATGAGACCACTAATCCCCCACCCAACCTCCACCTGACATTGCGTCAGGTCAGGTACATGAGACCCACTAATCCAACACAGCTCCATGTGAGTGCAAAATACCAGTCCTTGCTGTAACACACAGTTTTATTCACGCCCATATCATAAATATTTTTAATTTTCAAATATATTTATTTCACCAAACTTTTAGATAAACTATTCTGGATTATTACAGTAAAGCAATAGAGATTCTAACAAAATTAGAACTGCATTTACAGACTCCAGTAGTTTAGACTTAATGAAAACATCCCCAGCACCTAGAAACATTCTGGGGAAGTGGGCTAGTGTCTGTGTGTGTGCAAGATGTCTAGTTTTAGACACTCGGAAACTTTTCCCAGTAACCGGAAAAGATCCGGGGATAAAGAAGTTTTCCGGGTTTGAGAAAGTCGTCTGGTTAGCCGGAAATCTCTCATCCCCGGAAGGGCTCTGCATCAATTATTCCAGCTAACGGGGATATCACTGTATTTTCTGAAATGGATCCATTACCAGAACAAAACATTAAAATTAACAGGGACGTGAAAAATGCACATGACCTCTACATAAAGATGTAAAATGGGAAAAGAAAGCGGCTGTGAAAGGTTCTTTTGACAGCTTTATTATTCGAAGGCCTAAACCATCAAATTTAGCATCATAAGTAACTTCAACTTCAGGTTCAGTAACAGTTTCAGCAGCAGCTATGATATCTTTATGGAAAACTTCAGCATCAGCCAGAGTTGAACCTGATGACTTTGTCATCTGAGTAAAAACTCGCACAATATTCATTGGCTGCCCTTATGTTTTAGACTTTACTACTATTGGTGAGTAGAAATTTTGCTTTAAATTCGCAAGTATTATTTAAAACATATATGAATAGTAATAAGTGTTGCTTTCATATTCTTATGTTGAGAAATGACGATGTTTGCACATGTACGCACTTACAGGAACATACGATGGCGTTCCCAATCCATTTAGATTTTTCTTTACCATTAATGGTTGCTACTTCAATTGTTCCATAAATAACATTACTAAAAACATACATATTCATTTTTTTAACATTAATTTTACCACAGCTACAACCAGGGTCTTATTTTCTTGTTTCTTATGTAGAACCATCGTCACTCACGAAAACAATGCTGTCTTGTCTACTCGTGTGTTTTAATATTCTACGTATTATTAATGAATTGCATTGTTCATTTCGCATACATAAACATTAATTCACTCTTTTTTTCTTTAACATCAATGGTTACTTTTACTGTACATTAAATAACATTAATTAAAAAAACATATTTTTTTACATTAATTTTACTACAGCAACAACCAGGGTCTTTTCTTCAGTTTCAGATGGATAACTGACATTATGGGTGTAAACACTGATAACAACAATAGCATCCTATCTCCTCCAGTGTGATCTTATTATTATTGATTTATATTGCATGAGGTGCATTCAGAAACATTATTTAAAGAATATAGTTTGCAATTTTTCATTGATTGTATTGTTTTGGGGGGAAAAGAGTATAAAAACCCACACAAAAGATATGAAAAGGGCACATTAGGGAACGCATCTCATTATTATTGCTTTATTTTAATGGTAATTAACAATTCAGTTTACGATGATTCACCTTACACTGAAATATTGGAGGACACTTTACCGTCGTTATTTGAGGCTTTACTGTAGTGAGAATGGAAACTGAAAAACTGATAAAAAAAAAAAAATAATAATAATAGAAATCAGAGGAGAAGTAGAGGGACATGGAGCACCATGTGTGAATAAAGGGGAAGCACAGTGGCAAGTGGTTACTGGGCAAGTCATTCCAGTTAGAAAGAATGAAGACAAATGAAAAAATGTTTCTACGGGGTATTATCATTCATTTTTTGGCTTTTGTGCTGTCTAAGAGGTAAAGGTTAGTTAATTTTAACCTGTTTAATTACAATAAAACTGAAAACAAACACCAACCTGAAATTGTGTATAACCATAGCAGTCTTTGGTCCAACTGTGGGGAGCTGCTGCAGTTTCTTCAAATTGCCAGTATTTAAGATTTTGAGAATGGTTTCATTGTGTTGTTTCTGTAGTCTGGGGCTCACCTTTAACTGCCATTTCCCCTGTGTTGTGTCATTGGCCGAGAAAGTTGTATTTGTGGGCACAACACACATGGTCACATTTGTTGATTCTAGTTGTACATTTGGGTGAAAATACAAAAAGCTACAATTAACCAGACATTATCAACTGCAATGGTCTCTCGATTAACGAACACAATTGGTTCCACAGAGTCGTTTGTTAACCGAAAATTTTTTTAACTGAATCTATTATTTCAATGGGATATTGGGTAATTGGTTCCAACTAACAGAAAAAGTACATACAATGTAAAGCCAAAAAATGCATTAAGTCAGAAACACTTCTAAAAATCCCCAAAATCACCCTTAAATTACTATACAGCTACTCCCCGACTTTCGACCACCTGGACATACGACCGCCTCAATCGTACCAAAATTTTGTCAAATTACGTATTTTCGAGTCCCAACGTCAGTGATTGCGCTGTGTACTGACAAAATTTTTGCTTGCAATTCACTTTAAAATGGCTGGCAAGCTTAAGAGTGAGAGTTTTGTGGCGCTGAGAAGAAAAGGAGACACCCATTTTAGATTTTCTATGTATTATTTAAGCATTTTCGACTTACGACCTGGACTTGGGTCCCTAAACCCGTCGTAAGTCGGGGAGCAGCTGTATACGTACATATACACTAGAACTCTTAAATTACTACCTGTACTGTAATGTGGTACAGGTGATTAATTTTTATCTCGTGCAAAATATATGACGTTTATATTCAAATTATTCGCTGTCTTGCAAGGATTCCAGCAATGCAAATTATATTCTCCTAACTTTAGTCCGAGATATTATATAGGATAAAAACTGTAAGCCTAAAACCCTGACTGGGGAGAGAGAGGGAGGGGTAGGCGAGGTGATATGTTTGACAGTTGGTGCCAAAAGTCTAATATGTGTTTATTTATCAGTCCTTAAGAGTGACTAAGCTTTTCTCTTATAAAATGCCACTGAAACGACCTGGGAGAATACAATTTACATTGCTGGGATTCTTATAAGATAGTGATTAATTAATAAAGTTACATATATCCAGCCAAAAATATTAGTTGAAAAACTTTATGTAGACAGAGCTTGGATGGCTAAATTTTAGAATGATCAATAATTTTAATAAAAAAAAAATGCAAAAATATTCAAGAACACAACCTTCTTGATATTTACTCCACTGGAAATGAATGTAAACATAGAACCAATTACTGTATTGGTGGACTAGCCGATCAGCTGATGCGCACAACAAAGCGTGTTTCTCGTAAGGCTGTTGTTAATCAAAGTTTTGTTCATTAGTGGAACTGAAAATCCTTTTGGGAGCTAATTCGTTAACCGAAATTTCAATAATTGAACCATTCGTTAATCGAGGGACCACTGTATACAGTATATATATGGACATGTAAAATCAATGTTGAAATATATTTTCCTCAGTGGTGCCAGTGAGGATCAACTGATAAATTTTATATTTACCTTGATCCTTCTTTGTAGAAGCAAGTGAGGGCCGTCGAGACTTGACCACGCTACTGTAAGGGCTTTGTCCTTGCAAGATCTCAAAATTACGCTGAGTTGCTCTAATAGCTGAGAGCCTTGTGGATTTCCGTCTTGGGTTATTTTTCTCTGGTTTCAACCCTCCGTTTAAAGGCAAAGTAAAATTCAACTTCACTGGAAATCCACTGCATGTTTGGGACTGAATGTCATCTACATATTTTGTGATGTCTCCACTGTAAATTGCACCATTTGTATGAGATTCTTTAAATTCTCTATTTATCTCTTTTGACTGTGGCTGAACAGACAATTTAGGAGATCTCAGCAGAGGGGAACCTTCCTCTTGAAGAACTGTAGGTTTATCATAAGCCAACCAAGAAAATTGGTGGGAAAAGGAAGTGTTTATCCCTTCCTCAGTCATAATAGAAGTAGATTTAGAGCTACATTTAACATCTGGTGAGAGGTCCTTGAACAGTGCTTTCTGGATGATTTGTCTTGTTGAAAGTCTTGTGGATTTTCTTACAGCTCGAGTGTCGACGAATGCTGTACTTGTTACAGGTAAGTCCTTTAGGGGTTGTGAGTCCATGTTCATAGTTGTCTCCTTACAGTTTTCTAAAGCTCTTTCATCAGCTGTCCAAATCGACTTCTTTTTTATATCTCTCATAGGGTTTTGGTTTGCACTTATTTCTGGGATTGCTGTTTTCACTGGCAAATTTGATGGCAAGACAGTATGCTGTATGCTTCTCTGAAAAATATGAAACTATTAGAATCAATGTACAGTACTGTAATATATATTTTTGTTCAATCCAGAATGTGACGTCTAGCTTATACCTAGGCCAACATACAGGCAATTAAAACATCTAATGATTACTTAATACGTAATATTAGGACACGTCGCTACCTGGCATTTAATTGCAATTCTCAAAATTCCCTCCTGCACCCTCCATCACACACACTGGCACCGTCATCTTCTTGCCTGGCGAATCAGCTGTAAATACACACAAAGAAGGCTCCGCTAATCTGTGTTGTAACAGTTGAAATATTAAGTGCCACGAGGATAGTATGTACGGTATTTATACATCTTAGTATGGTGAGGAAATCGAGTGACTTTTATTTTGTTTATGTCTCTCAGATATTGTGTTTGGGACAAATTCTTATACGGTCTGGTCAGCATGGTGACCACAGCGCGTCTTCTATTATGAAGTTGCTAGATCGTTAGTGACTAATATCCTCTGCTTTCAAGTCACTTAGTGAATGAAGTTGTTTTTCACCCATCTGGGCTTGTCTTCACTGAAAGAATATACAGTATATAGATATATACAGGTATATGTATGTACTGTATAAAATTTTCTTTGTCCCAATTATACACGTGCTAGTATGAATACCATGATATATGTGGCCCTCTCTCTCCCTCCTCTTATGTTCGTTCACAAAACTTTTCGGGCTTCCGCTCTGGGTTTTCTAATATCTGTACTCTCAGCATGCAGGCCAAAGATAAGTTTTTCTCTTCATAATTATATATTATTGATGTCCTCAGTAGCGGGTTCAGCCTTTCCAGGTGACCTTTAGCGAGGCTGCTAGCCTTAGTAATCCTTCCGGACGCTGACCTTCCGGTCTTACTAGCAATCTAGAGTTATGTTGGGATGAACGTTGTATCCTCAATATGGGTTATATGAGAACCATTCAGGGTGGAATTCTCAACCCAATACATCTTGCTAGAGTAATGGTGAACGATGTTAGCCAATGGAGAGCTATGCAGCAGCTCAGCACTGTCAACCCTTCTGGGTGACTTGATGCTCACTCAGACATTTTCGCCCAAGCTAATTAATTGCAGCGATGATGTCTGTGCACCCTGATTGGCAACAAATGAAGAACTTGATGATCCCTCAAAATAAAAATGCTCTAAATGAAGTTTGATTAAGAAACAAAGTTCATTGAGCTGAGGGACATTTGAGATAAGAGAATGGAGAGGTGTATGATATAGTGAGTTAGTTGTTTATGATTGTCACACTGGTGACTTACATAACAATAAGAGATATTAATGATATAATTTACTAAAATATATCAGTTACGAGTCATACTGATTATGTTTGGGAGAAAATGTAATCTCTCTTGTATTATTATGATGATACAATGTGACTCATAGTGTTCGTCCTAGTTTAGATGAGTGATGTGCAACTGGAGGATGAAGGACAGTTGTCTTCACTGCTGGATGATGGAGGAGACCATGGAACTGTCCCTGGGGAACTAGTGTTGAGTGATGAGCTACAAGGACTAGAAAGTTCAGCTCATACACTACATACAAGGAAGTGTCCATCAGTAGAAGATGTGAATTCAGTAGTAGTAGTTTCACCCAGGACCCAAGGGGACCATACTACAGTACATGTAATTTTCAAGGATGCAGAGCCACTTGGATTACCATGTTAGATTCTCATTTGGCTTCCATATTCATAGCAGCTGTGTCTCAGACAACCTAACCTGTTTTCACCATTGGATTGTGCAGTCTGTTACGATCAAATTTTTAAAATTAATCAAGCTGCAGGAGATAAGAGAGAATTATTGCAGATCCAACTTAAAAATATATGGAATAAGGCCTTGAAGAGTAAATTACTAAATGTAAAACACTGGAAAGATCCCAAGTTGGTAGAAAGTTTAGAATTATGGGTGATAGGTAAGAGACTTAATCCCCAGTTAGACCAACCTGCTTCTGCTATGAAAAGTAGGTTATTGGATATTCTAGATAATGAGGCAGTAGGAAGGTTGCAAGAACCTCTACCTAGTCAGTCTGATTTTAGTGGATTCCAGGATCAGGATGAGGAGGCTGGCTCTAATCATAGCATTCAGTTACTAGAGCAGGGAGAACCAGTTGAGACTGACTTCATCCTGTCCCCATTTTGGCAACCACTTCCACCTGGGGCAAAAGTGTTGGTTACTATGAGTGGAAACAGGCTGCTGTCGACTGCCAATCAGCTGATGGAGAACATTGAGTGTAAGGATGATCCCAACAGGCCTTGGGTAACATTGGTAAAATCTAAGTCTTCTTTGTTTTCAACCACATCCGAGTCTGTGGATTCTTTATTCAAGATATTTTATGAAAATGTTTCTAAATTTCCTGATCTCTCAGCACTTACAAAGAGACAGGAAGGCCAAGCAATTGTGGGTCATCATTCATTGTTTCTAGAAGGTGATACTACACTCTATTGGCCTGATATTTGCCCCAAAACGATCCCTGAATTAGATGAAGTGTGGGCTAATATATTGAAAGACTTAACATTCATTCCCTCAGATAAGAATGCTCACAAGTTTAGTTTTTTGAAGTTCCAATTTAATGACAAAAAGAGTTCCTTATATGAACTTTCCCAGTATTTGTCGGCTCCAAAATATGCTGACATAAGTTATGAAATAAATTTGAAACCAGTTGCTTCTGCACTGTTGCTTGAAGAATTCAAATTTAGGAAGTTGGCAGCAGATATTTGGTCTGCAATTATGATGTGTCAGTTATTGACTAAGTTTGTGTTGGACTGTGAGGACAGTTCAGAAGTAGAAATGTTTTGCTTCTGCTATACAAGGGATTCCATATTCCCTGTACAATTCATTTTAGGAAATGTTGTTAAAAGCCCAAAAACTAAAAGACCAGCTAAGGAACCAAGCCACTAATAATGCTTCAAGTATTAGTGCTTATTTATTGCTATGTTCTTCCCCTCTTTCTCCTGCTTTGTTTGATGAACGAACATTAGTTAAGAATAGATCAGCTGTTGAGCAAGCTATTAATATTACTATTCCCAGGTTTCCTCAGACATTTTGGAAATTTAAAAGAGGAAGGTCTAACAGGGGAAAAGGACCAGCTGCTAGGTTCAGTTATCAACCTAGAGGAAACTTTAGAGGAGGAAACAATTCAAGTTGTAGTAGGGGTGGCCGTTTGTTCAGAAGTGGAAGGAGACCTTATTCCACCACATCAGCGACCACTCCTTTCCAATGAAGCCAGACAGCTGGGTCGTCTAGGGGGTTGGGAAAACAGGTGGACTTATTCCAAATAGGCTTACAAGACAATCAAATGGCACCTCACATAGACTTGGTTGATTCGCCCTCCCGTAGACTGTTACCAAAAGGGGGTAAAACAACAGCACCCTAACCTGGTACTTAAAGGTTAACTTAATATATACTGATATATTTGAAAGACCTAAGTGATTCGTGTTTATGTAACAATCTACTCTAGGGTCGTAACACATGCATAAATTCATACATACATATACTCACTATGGGTTTAGTATCATGAATTACACTTCCTAGAGCACTGGTGACAATATCTTGCAGCAGACTCTTCATCTTGTGTGTGTCAAAAAGGCTGCCAGCTGTGGGAATGCCCATGATATCATCATCTGAGGAGTCAACTTCTAATTTGTTCTCTACATCACTGTTTGGTGTAGAACTCTTGGATTTGCAATGTCTTTTCTTCTTTCTAAATAAAATAAAAGATAAATTGAAAGGTTAATCGAGTTATCATATAAATCTGAGGACTGTTCCTGAAATCCAAGTTTATAACAGAGACAGAATCAAGAAAATATGTACAGTAAGAAAAACTTGAGATCTAAAAATTAAATACAGTCAACCCTCGCTTTACGCGGTCCCACATTCTGCGTTTCCACATTTACGCGGTACCCTGCCGAAACCGGAATGCTCACATTCCGCGGTGCGTGTACCCCTTTACGCGGAGAGCAGCTGGCGAGCCGCGCCATTTTTGGATCCAAACCTCCCGCCATCTCTCCCGCCATGTTGTGTAAGCGGCGCAAGCAGGGTGCGCACAAGGTCGCCCAGTCATCAAAACATTACCGAGTTCTTCACCCGCCACCCACCACAGCCGGCCCAAGTCAGTGATAGTGATAATTATAGTGAGGATATGGACTTATATGGACTTTCAGGGGTTTGACAAAGAGTCCCTGCAAGCCTCTGTGGTGGATAATGATACAATTGATACAAGTGATACAGGTGAGGGCCAATAATCTGCCCTCTGCCTCGGAACCAACCCCACATCCCCGTGTGCCCAGCCATCTTTTCTACTAATGTAAGTGTTAAAAAACCTAATATTATTGATATTTCTCTTAATTAGTAATTGTGTGTGCATACCATCATAAAATTAAGAAGTTATTTTTACTACAACGTAGGTATTGTGTCTGAAAAAGTGGAGTTTGGGGGTCGGCCCGGTCTCTATTTTAATTAATCCCATATGTTATGTTGTTCACTTTACGCGTTTCTCACTTTCCGCGGTACACTGTGGGTTGAATTAACCGCGTAAAGTGAGGGTTCACTGTACTCTAATGATCTGCCACTTTCACCCTAGACTCCCTAAGAACAGCCACTTTATATGAAGGCAACTTAAAAAGGTAAATGGTTTAGCTACTGAGCTTAATATGAGACATTGCGATAGGTTCATTTGTTGTTTTGTCATCCTAAAGAAGTAAACCCACCTCTCATTTTACGTGGGGGTTACGTTCTTGAAAATCACCGCTTAATTCAAAAAGGGCGCAAATTAAACACATTTTTCCTATAAGAATGCATGTAAATGGTACAGGTTAGGGGAACCATCATATACCGTACAGGGTAACTCACAATAAATATTTTTTTACCTTACTCATTCATAAAGAAAATGCTTTTTTTCTTCTAAAAACCAGTTTTTGTGACATACTGCAGAATGCGATGTCTAGCTTTATACTTAGGTATGTAAATGCCTAGCATTAACTCGCCAGGCCAACATGCAAGCAATTAAAACATCTCATAATTATTTAAATACATAATATTCGGATGACATGTCGCTACCTGGCATTTTTGCAATTCTCAAAACCCCCTCCCGCACCCTCCATCACACGCATTGCTACCGTCATCTCTTGGCCTAGAGTGAGCAGTAAACAAATGTCAACTCTCGAGGGGTCGAGATGGGTGGGATGTCGACTTCACATTCTGGACTATATCACAAAAACTGTTTTTTAGAAAAAAAAAAGGCTTTTTGTTTAATCCAGAATGCGACGTCTAGCTTTGATTACCCAAGCAGAAGGTGGAGAGGGTGACATTGTGTATAAGGCTCTGCTAGCTTAGGTCCAGATTATAATTATAAACTTTTGGAATATTTTCCAATACAGTGATCCCTCGGTTAACGAACACAAACGTGTGGTGTGAGAGGCAAATAGTCACACTGGAACCTGATAACCCACGCTGGGCATTTAAACAGTGGCGGGAATAGGCGCGCGCTCTGGAATGTCACCCAGGGCATGACATGGTAGGAGATTTGATTTGACCTGGTTTAACTTTAATCCTAGGTTTTGCATTAGTACTACTGTACATTGGGTCACCCTTTGACAGTCTTCAAAAGAGTTTCCCACTATCAGCCGATCGTCTAGATAAGCAAAAGTTCTTATGCCCTCCTTCCCAAGGATCTCTCTGGGGATGTTCGGCAGTTTTGTAAACACTTTTCGCGCAATTATTAGACCGAATGGCATCACTGTTAATTGATAAACTTACATCCCCCACTGCGAACACTAGAAACTTTCTGTACCTGGAAGCAACAGGCACATGATACTAGGCATCTTTAAGATCCACTTTTGAGATCCAAGCATTGGGCGGAAGTAAATGCTGCAGATGATCGTAAGTGAGCATCTTGAAACTTTTTTTGGTAATGTACTTTTTCAGAACGGAAAGATCTAAAATCCACCTCAATTTGTCGCTGCCTTTCTTGGGGACTGGGAACAAGCGAGACATGAAACACTTCTCTGACTGCAACAGTTCTATCACACCTCTGTTTAACAGTTGAATTACAAATTCTGTCAGTAAGGGGGTTGGTTCTGACCCCTTTTTGGTAACACTAGGGGAGGGCAAATCAACCAAGTCCATGTGAGACCCCCTTTGATTGTCTTGTATGCCCATATGGAAGAAGTCCACCTGTTTTCCCAACCCCCTAGACGACCCAGCTGTCTGGCTTCATTGGAAAGGAGTGGTCGCTGATGTGGTGGAATAAGGTCTCCTTCCACTTCTCAACAAATGGCCACCCCTACAACATCTTGAATTGTTTCCTCCTCTAAAGCTTCTCTAGGTTGATAACTGAACCGAGCAGCTGGTCCTGTTCCCCTGTTAGATCTTCCTCTTTAAATTTCCAAAAAGTCTTAGAACTCCTGGGAACAGTAATATGAATAGCTTGCTCAACAGCTGATCTATACTTAACTAATGTTTGTTCATCAGACAAAGCAGGAGAAAGAGGGGAAGAACGTAGCAATAAATAAGCACTACCACTTGAAGCATTAATAGTGGCTTGCCTCCTTAGCTGGGCTTTTAGTTTTAGAGCTTTCAACAACATTTCCAAAAATGAGTTGTACAGGGAATATGGAATCCCTTGTATAGCAGCAGCAAAACATGTGTCTACTTCTTAACTGTCCTCACAGTCCAGCACAAACTTAGTCAACAACTGACACATCATGATTGCAGACCAAATATCCACTGCCAACTTCCTAAATTTGAATTCTTCAAGCAACAGTGCTGAAGCAACTGGTTTCAAATATATTTCATAACTTATGTCAGCATATTTTGGAGCCGACAAATACTGGGAGTTCATATAAGGAACTCTTTTTGTCATTAAATTGGAACTTCAAAAAACTAAACTTGTGAGCATTCTTATCTGAGGGAATGAATGTTAAGTCTTTCAATATATTAGCCCACACTTCATATATTTCAGATGTAAGGGCGGTAACGAGCGGGATGGTTGTCCGCCGCTCGTTTGCGGCCCCATTAGGGGGGGTAGACGGAGGTGAGAAGGTCGCTGCTGCCTCGTCCCACACCAGACACTACCCTGCCGTCAACACAGCTGTACTCGCACCCCGCTGTTCGATCCAACTCTGGTTGTGTACTCATCTGAGGCTCGTGGGCTGATTCCCCAGTCTTTCACTATTCGGCTGTCAATCCCCGGACACCTACTCCAGCTACTACCATGGCTGCCACGTCATCGCCACTTCCTCCACGCCCTATCCACCGTCCGTGCCTTGGGGTCTCTCCTGTGTGGCAAGACATCACCCACCAACGCCGGCGCCAAATGAGGAAGCTGCACTGGACCTTTCCCCGGAGAGCGGACCACCACGTTAACAGAACATTCCACCGGGAAGCAGCCGTAGGAAATAGCTGTACTTTGTTCGACTCCCATAATTGTTTGATTCCCGTAATTGTTTGACTCCCGTATTTGTGTATTTAATATTTGTGTGAGTGGTGTCAATTATTGTGAATATTTTCAAAGTAAAGTGATGTCAATCTCTAACGGTTGTTTGTTAGCCCTTGGAAACCCATGGTTCTTGACTTTCCTTTTATACGATCCTGATTAGGCTGGCAAGGGATTTATATCCCAAATTCCAGGCCTTTACATCAGATACCATTTTTGGGCAAATATCAGGCCAAGAAATTGTAGTATCTCCTTCTAAACACAATGAATGATGACCCACAATTGCTTGGCCTTCCTGTCTCTTCGTAAGTGCTGAGAGATCAGGAAGTTTGGAAACATTTTCATAAAATACCTTGAATAAGGAATCCACAGACTCAGATGTGGTTGAAAACAAAGAAGACTTAGATCTTACCAATGTTACCCAAGGCCTGTTGGGATCATCCTTACTACACTCAATGTTATCCATCAGCTGAATGGGAGTCTATATCAGCCTGTTTCCACTCATAGTAACCAACACTTTTGCCCCAGGTGGAAGAGGTTGCCAAAATGGGGACAGGATGAAGTCAGTCTCAGCAGGTTCTCCCTGCTCTAGTGATTGAACACTATGATTAATGCCAACTTTCTCATCCTGATCCTGGAATCCACTAAATTGGGCTGACTAGGTAGAGGTTCTTGCAAACTTCCTACTGCCTCATTATCTTGAATATCCAATAACCTACTTTTCATAGCAGAAGCAGGTTGGTCTAACTGGGGATTAAGTCTCTTACCTATCACCCATAATTCTAAACTTTCTGCCAACTTGGGATCTTTCCAGTGTTTTACATTTAGAAATTTATTCTTCAAGACCTTATTCCATATATTTTTAATTTGGATCTTCGATAATTCCTTCTTATCCCCTGCAGCTTGATTAATTAAAAAAAAAATTCATAAACTGCACAATCCAATGGTGAAAACAGGTTGTCTGAAACACAGCTGCTATGAATTATGCAAGCCAAATAAGAATCTAACTTGGTAATCCAAGTGGCCCTACATCCTTGATAATTACATGTAGTATGGTCCCCTTGGGTGATAGGTGAAACTACTGAATTCACATCCTCTACTTCCTTGTATGTAGTGTATGAGCTGAACTCTCCAGTACTTGTAGCTCATCACTCAACACTAGTTCCCCAGGGCCAGTTCCATGGTCTCCTCCATCATCCAGCAGTCAAGAAAACTGTCCTTAATCCTCCAGTTGCACATCACTCATCTAAACTAGGACGAACACTATGAGTCACATTGTATCATCATAACAATACAAGGAAGATTACATTTTTCCCAAACATAATCAATATGACTCGTAACTGTGATATTTTAGTAAGTTATTTCATTTAATATCTCTTATTGTTATATGAGTCACCAGTGTGACAATCATAAACACCTAACTCACTATATCATACACCTCTCCCTTCTCTTATATCAAATGTCCCTCAGCTCAATGAACTTTGTTTCTTAATCAAGCTAACTTCATTTTAGAGCACTTATTTGAGGGATCACCAAGTTTTCTATTTGTTGCCAATCAGGATGCACAGACATCACCGCTTCAACTAATAATACTTGAGCGAAAATGCCTGAGTGAGCATTGTCACCCAGAAGGGTTGACAGTGCTGAGATGCTACCATAGCGCCCCATTGGCTAACATTGTTCACCATTACTCTAGCAAGATGTATTGGGCTGAGAATTCCACCCTGAATGGTTCTCATATAACCCATACTGAGGATACAAGGTTCATCCCATGCCTCATTCAGTGGTAAATCATAGTATTTTTCAAAACTTTCACTGAAGTAAACCTTGGCATTTCTTGAAGTTTCACTTCATTTTAATTGTGTTGTTTTTTTTTTTTTGGGGGCATAATCTCAAAGAGCTTCACTTCAAATGAATCTTAACATTTAAAAACAGTTCAGACTGAGCTCGCCACTAATATCGCGCAAAATAAAACTGGACTGCTCAAAATTGCAAATAAATAGATAAATAAATAAAAAAGAAAAGGGAATAATCTAGGGTGATACATTGCACTGAAATCATTGAACCGGTTCACATTAAATTGGGGGTCGAATGTAACTGGCTGCTCAACACCTTTCATCTGCTCTTACTTTGCTTCTCCCATCTTTCTCTTTACTCCCCCTAAATTCCTTGTAAACTTACCTACACTTCTTCATTCCTATCCTTTACTATGGGATGCTACTTTTAATATTTTAATTGGCTAACACCAGACAATTTCATTTAGCAGAAGACCCCACAAATAAGGGGTTAATGAGAACTGAAAACCTTATGAGAACTGAGAACCTTATGAGAACTGAGAACCTTATAAGAACTGAGAACCTTATGAGAACTGAGAACCTTATGAGAACTGAGAGCCTTAGAAGAACTGAGAGCCTTATGAGAACTGAGAACTTTATAAGAACTGAGAACCTCATGAGAACTGAGAACCTCATGAAAACTGAGAACTGAGAACCTCATGAGAACTGAGAACCTTAAGAAAAATGAGAACCTTATGAGAACTGAGAACCTCATGAGAGCTGAGAACCTTAAGAGAACTGAGAACCTTCTGAGAACTGAGAACATCATGAGAACTGAGACCCTTATGAGATCTGAGAACCTCATGAGAACTGAGAACCTTATGAGAACTGAGAACTGAGAACCTCATGAGAACTGAAAACCTTATGAGAACTGAGAACCTCATGAGAACTGAGAGCCTCATGAGAACTGAGAACCTCATGAGAACTGAGAACCCTGAGAGAACTGAGAACCCTAAGAGAACTGAGAACCCAAGAGAACTGAGAACCTTAAGAGAACTGAGAACCTTAAGAGAACTGAGAACCTCATGAGAACTGAGAACCTCATGAGAACTGAGACCCTTATGAGATCTGAGAACCTCATGAGAACTGAGAACCTTAAGAGAACTGAAAACCTTATGAGAACTGAGAACCTCATGAGAACTGAGAGCCTCATGAGAACTGAGAACCTCATGAGAACTGAGAACATCATGAGAACTGAGACCCTTATGAGATCTGAGAACCTCATGAGAACTGAGAACCTTATGAGAACTGAGAACTGAGAACCTCATGAGAAATGAGAACCTTAAGAGAACTGAGAACCTTTCATCATACAAATTCCTCTCTTATTTTTTCTATTTCCTCAGTTGTACTTCCTAAGACTGAACCCTTAAACTATTTCCATTCTTGTTTACTCCCATTTATGTGTCCATCTTGTTGTACATCCCCTTCCCTCAGCTCACAACACTCCTTACTGTATAATTACATATACATATAGATTAAAAAAACACACATACAAAGATTAAACTGATCTACTCACCTTGAACATGTGCCCTTTTTCTTGTGTTCAAGTTTTGCCATAATCTTGTTACACAAACGATCTTCTATATTCTCCAACTGAGTCATCATTGACATCTCAAGACAGCTCACTCGCTCAAGGAGAGGACTGTGAAACCAAATAAAATTAGAAGAGCATATGCAAAGTTAATGCCACGAAAATTTTTTTGCCAAACTGAAAATCATGCACCTTGATAAGACACTGGATTGTCAGTTGAGGTTGGCTGATATAGTTTGGGCATTCAAAGAGAATGTATGGGAGGGAGGAGAGGCAGGGGTAGGCCAAGAATGATATGGGGAGAGGTTGAAAGAATTTACATTACTGTATAATTATGAACCTGACAAGAAAGACTGCAAGAGGCTGGGAAGTATGGAGAGCTGCCATCATGTAACTGTGGATAACCCACACAATTGAGGAAAAGAGCCATAAAACATTGATAATGATGATATTATGTCAGAGTAAATTAAAATAAATTGGAGGAACACTATGAATCACATTGTATCAACATAATAATACAAGGAAGATGACATTTTCTCCCAAACATAATCAATATGACTCATAACTGTGATATTTGAATAAATTATTTCATTAATATCTCTTATTTGTTATGTAAGTCACCAGTGTGACAATCATTAACAACTAACTCACTATATCATACACCTCTCCCTTCTCTATCTCAATTATCCCTCAGCTCAATGAATTTTTTTTCTTAATCAAACTTCATTTAGAGCATTTTTATTTTGAGGGATCATCAAGTTCTCTATTTGTTGCCAATCAGGGTGCACAGACATTATCGCTGCAATTAATTTTCAGCGAAAATGCCTAAGTGAGCATCAAGTCACCCGGAAGGGTTGACAGTGCTGAGCTGCTACCATAGTGCTCCATTGGCAACATCGTTCACCATTACTCTAGCAAGATGTATTGGGTTGAGAATTCCACCCTGAATGGTTCTCATATAACCCATATTGAGGATACAAGGTCCATCCCAACATAACTCTAGATTGCTAGTAAGACCGGAAGGTCAGCATCCGGAAGGATCACTAAGGCTAGCAGCCTCGCTAAAGTTCACCTGGAGAGGCTGAACCCGCTACTGAGGACATCAATAAGAGTTATGAAGAGAAAAACTTAACTCTGGCCTTCATGCTGAGAGTAATTAGAAAACCCAGGGAGGAAGCCCGAAAAGTTTTGTTAACGAACATAAGAGGAGGGAGAGAGATGGCCACATATATCATGGTATTCATACTAGCACGTGTATAATTGGGACAAAGAAAATCTGCCATCTGATGCACCACTAATTAATATTCTGTTACTAATATTTCTCTTAAAAATGAAAGATATAGAGTACCTGAAGCCAGAGGGATGAGCCACAGACTCATTAATGACGGGCTGCTGAATGAGGCTGGAGAACATGGGTGGTGGCATGTCACAACTAACACCCAACAAAGTACTCTTGTCCATCTCATTTATTCTGTAATTATAAAAAAGTTAGTAATACAGTAATGACTTCCCTAAACATAACAAATCACTATTAACTTGTCTACTAGAGTCAGCCATTATTATGTACAGTTAGATACACTCACTACTCACACATGTACTGTACTATAGAAGAGCTCATCAATCATACATCTGCTGTTAGAATACTTTCAAATCCTACATCCTTTGTGTTTCTTTTCTAAATAAAAGAGAATGGATAAAATAAAGTCACATCCATCCATCAATGCTCACTGCATCTCCTAACATACACATTACATAAAGAGAATCTTAACTTTAACACTGATTCGTTAGCTATGCTTTACATTAAGCCTTTATATACACCAGCAGATTTTTTTTGGAGGAACATCATTTTAGGATGTAAGTAGTGTATGTATTTCACTGTTTATTAACTTTAAAATGTCTCTGGATGACATACTATTCTCCCTTTTTTTTTAAATTAATTTTTACTATTCATGCAAGATTTGGCCAATATGGGAGGTACGCCATCTAGTACCTGACCCACTGGTGTGCCACATCTGCTGCCTTCAACAGCCTGAGAACCTCCGTTGATCTCTATTCAATAAAGACATTAACAATTATACGATTGATCAATATGGGCTCGGACAGTTATACGATATAAGAAAATTAACACCACTGACCACTATGCGATGGCTAATGATCAGTTTTATGATGGTCACGGCTTCTGATGTTTGTTTACAAAACCTAATAAATACTTACAAAATTATTTTATAAGATATTTTTATCAAATTCCTTATTTAAACTATTGTGTATTATTAATTTGTGTGTGACAATGACATGTATGTATTCATTATTCACTGTTATTCATTTTCACTAATTGATGCAACACATGTTTTCTGCACTAGTGTTCCCTTTCTACAACACAGCCCAAAAACATCCATCTGGTGTACTCCCATCACTTTACACAACTCAGTAACTTCATGTTAATATTTGCTAGCATGTACATGTAAATACTAACTTTCTTGATGGAGTAATAAAGGTGCTGTTCAGGGAAGAAACCAACACTCTACTTGGTGGCTTGTGACCCGGTGTGGAAATTGTGCTGTTGTGCTCTGGTTTCTTTCCTGAGGCCATTATCCGTCTCTTCCAAGCTTCTGGAGTGGCCGTCACATCTTCACAGCGACGCTTCATGCCCAACCTCTAAAGATACAATTGAAGATTACTCGTGCAGCTTACAGTACTTATATAAATAACAAAATATGCCACAAAAACTTTAGCAGACAAATTTGCAACTTCTAAATATATCTATAAATCTTACGTCTCCAAAAATTCCACATCTCCATCCTATTCTTCTCATGTCTCAATAAATTTCTCAAATGGCCTTTTTGTCTCATATACACAGTAGAATGATTTTTATTTTGATTAAGAAATGCTCCAAAATCTCCAGCTAACATGCATTAATCTGCAATACATGTATGTGCCAGCTCAGCCACAATGATATACAATACTGTACAAGAAATTGCTGTCTAACCTTTACACAGGCCAATATGAGTCTTTGCAAAAATTCAAAAACAAAAATTCCAACTATGGAAATAAAATCTGCTATTAAAGAAATTTGTATTACCACAATTTTCTTTTTAGATACCCTAGCATCATCATTAGTAGTGAGTGTTGCTATGGATAATACTAGAGTTGAGCACTTGGAGGCTTTATTCAACATAAAACAACATTATATCTAAAACAACAAACAATGAATTGTACGGGATTATGTAGCTAAAACGTCATCAACAACAGCATATAACAATAAAGTATAATATTAAAGTAAGCACTGTACACATCATTCTCCCCAGCCTTTAAATGAGATAAACAAGAGAAGAAGTGTATTGAAACTTATGTGAGCATATCATTAGTGCTATTGTTCTGTGGACATTAGTACCTATTTTTGCTATAATGTAGCTGAATGTTGTGTTATAAACTAGAACATGATACCTAAGATAAGAATATTGTAGAAAATAATTTGTCCTCATTACTCAACAAACAACAAAATGAAAATCAACCCAAAGACTAAACAAATACACTGGTATCCCCATTAGCTGGAACAACTGGTGGAGAGCACTTCCGAGGTTGAGAGATTTGCGGCTAACCAGATGACTTTCTCAAACCCGGAAAAATTCCTCATCCCCGGAATATTTTCCGGTTACTAGGAAAAGTTTCCAAGTATCTAAACTAGACATCTTGCACACACAGACACTAGCCCACTTCCCCAGAACGTTTCTGGGTGCTGGGGATGTTTTCCTTGAGTCTAAACTACCAGAGTCCGTAAATGCAGTTCTAATTAAGTTAGAGACTCCATTTCTTTACTATAGTAATCCAGAATAGTTTATATAAGTTTGGCTAAATAAATATATTTAAAAATAAAAAATCTATAAGATATGGGCATGAATAAAGCTGTGTGTTACAACAAAGACTGATATTTTCCACTTCTATAGAGCTGTGGGGGATTAGTGGGTCTTATGTAAGTGACCTGGCCTGGTGCAATGTCAGGTGGAGGTAGGGTGGGGATTAGTGGTCTCATGTTACTGACCTTCTGATGGAATGTCAGATCACCGTTTATTGGGCGAGGGGTTAGTGGGTCTCATGACCTGAAGATGTCTTGAATAAACACGAAAGTTCAAGTATTTTAGAGAGATTGTGATAAGTAAAAGTAAAAATGAGTAAAGTTGTATCCCTTCAACATTACGTTCCAAAACATTTTAAAATATGGAGTGAGAAAGTAGAAAAGTGTAGGTGATTAGAGAGATGGTGTGGAAGGAGTGATAACATGCACCAGTGTTACCAAGTGCTCCTCAACAACTGATATTTAACTAGCTACCATGCAGTCACACACAAAAAATCTGCCATACAATAAGACCGACACTCCTTATGCTTGCTGTCTTAATTCCTGTGTTGGGGATGTATGGGGTGATGTTGGGGTGTGTGGGTGGTTGTTTGAGTGAGTGAGTGAGTGAGTGAGTGAGTGAGTGAGTGTGTGTGTGTGAGTGTGTGTGTGTGTGTGTGTGTGTGTGTGGCACAGTGTGGGTGAGGTGAGGGTGGTGCTGGAGGGTATGTGTGGGTGATGTAGGGGTGTATGTGTGTGATGTGTAGCACAGTGTGTGTGATGTGGGGTGAAAGTAGGGGAGTCAGTCAGTTCTCCCTCCCTCCTTCCTCACTCAATTGTTATAGGCAGATGAATTTGATACCATAATGATCCTTAAATTTTCTAAAAGGTATTTCCAATAAGATATCCTTAAACAATATTTCAATATGATATAGTGATGGGAATTCCATTCTTTTATATATTAAAAAAAACACGCAAGAAATGTTGATACTGTACAGGAGTCAGTAAAATCAGTTCTAATTTCATTAGACACAACATTTTTATCAAAATAATCCTGAATACTTTATCTAAAGGCTTGGTTAAATAAAAGAGAAAAAAAGCTCTACATGATACAGGCGTGAATAGAGCTGTGTTACAGCTTGTACGAGCTGTAGTTATTTACGCAAACACCGCTGTACAATATTGTTCATACTGTTAACATAATAATGTATACTACTGTATATATTGTACTCACCAGCAGATCATGTCATCTTTAGCCTACAATAGGCAGACACTTCACTCAGCTGACTGTAATACATAACTGTAATAATGTCTAAACACTTGTGATGGAGGTCGGGTGGGAGATTATTGGGTCATGTTACTAACCTGACCTGATGCAATATTAGGTCACCCATTGTTGGGGTGGGGGATTAGTGGGTCTTCCCACTTACTGAATGTACAGTATAGTATATGTAACTGTAATCACTTTTTATGTTCTTAACACAGCTTTAACACTATTCTTGGCTGATTTTGTTCTGGTACAATAATGCACAGCACTGCACAACACAAATTGTACAGAAAACAGCAGCTAGTGAGGGAACAACCTTCTACAATGGCAGCAGAATATGAACTAAGTGATCCAAGCAGCTGGGCCACCCATGCGCCTGGCATGTGGGGATGGGTTGGAGCATCTTTTGGGATGCCCTGAAAATTTATTCCCAGACCCAGAAATAAAAATGTGTTGAGATTTTCCAGAACTGTTCTAGGAATTTTCAGAATATGAACCTGATTTTGAACCTTAGAATTTGTTCCCAAACCCGGAAATCAGATAATTTTTCGGAGAAATTACGAGCAAATTTCAATTTTGGCTATTGGCGAGTGCTGGATTTGAGGGCTTCCGACTAACGGAGATATTATTGTATCAAGAGAGTTTTCACGGATCATTTTGAAGGACACCCCCCCCCCCTTGACCACCGAAGGGACAAGACTTACCTGGAGCTCCTCTGGGAGCAGCCAAGTCAACTGTTATGTTGGCCCATACCAACTCCCTCCCCTGAACCCCTCCTCCCCACCAGAATATCAACAAGTTCTTGCCAGAAGTTACTATTTCATTTAGGAAAGGAATGGAACCAGTGTTGAATAGTGGTGAACAGTACTTAAGTCAGTGAAAAACAACTCAACTGTAACAGCTGAGTCGTACCCAAGCTAACCTTCACCCAGTGAGATCCCAGGTACCCAATGATAACTGCCCGTGAGACTCAACAACACCAGCTATGTGTTAATCCGTCCACGATAGAGGCCTGGGACCACACCTCACTCACTTGAGTGAGTGAGGTCCTGTGACACCAGACCACGTGGTGTCCCTATGATGCTATGACACCACGTAGTGAATGAGTTGCTACAGTATCATGTGAGGTCCCTCATAACACCATCTGTGAGGGAGTTACTACACCACATCGAGCCCCTCATAACACCACCTGTGAGGGAACTACTACACCACATGATGCCCCCCTTAGCGCCATCTGTGAGGAAGTTACTAAACTACGTGTCTGCTGTTCAACACCTCAACGTACATGATCTACGTGACCTCCACTGTAAATATTAATCTGTATGTTCACTGTATGTTCCTTCACCTTTCTCTAATGAAGGCTTTTGTTAAACCACCAATGTATGTAATAAGTCATTTATGTCAATGTATATTTTCAGCCTTCGGGCTGCAGAACTTTTCAATAAACCGTTAATTGTCTACCACGCACGCACGCGTGCACACGCACAAACACACACATCACTATAGACCACAAACTGGACTGGAAGGCCCATGTAAACAACACAATCAAGGCAGCCTCGTACCGACTCTACATGCTACGATGACTCAGGTCACTTGGGGCACCCACGCCAGAGCTGAGGACTATCTACAACGCCTTTATTCTCCCCAAATTAACGTATGCGTCACCAGCCTGGACATCTTCTCTCAACTCAACCCAACAACGTCAGCTAGAGAAGGTATAGAAGAGGGCCTGCAGAATCAATCTCGGCGCAAACTACTTCGGCTACAACAACGCTCTCTCCACCCTGGAAATGCCATCCCTCAGTGACCTCCACCACCACATACTAGCAGGATTTGGCAGTGGGCTACTGCACCATCCTTGCCATCGCCACCTACTGCCACCGGCAGTCCCCCGCCCACCTTGCGCAATCCGCCAGTACAACAAAATTCAGCCCATAAGAGCCCGCACCGATAGATATAAGAATAGCACCATCCCATCTATTGTTAAAATAATAAACAGCTCCTGATTCATGTACCGTACAGCCCTGTAAATGTATTGAATTTATATTATTGTCTAAATCACATGTAAGTTTGTATATTTTCAGCCATTGGCTGCAACTCGATTTATAAACCGTTTATTATTATTACGTATTATTATCACACACACACACACACCTTCCTTGAGACAGTCTTGGTCATCATGTGTGTGGCAGCACAGTACCGCTCAACCCTTTAATTATTCCATGAGTTTTGTTATATTTTTCCTTATACCACAATATTCTACAAGCTTTATTCTTTATTTTGGTATATAGTACAATCAATGACCACCATAGTACAAGGCAAATGTGAATGGAAATCGAGATCTTACGAAATATATTCCTACGTTTTCAACTTATACTAAAAAAAAAGTGGCTTAAATTTCAAGAATTTTCAATTTTTTATGGTTTCATACAATTTTTCAGACAACTTTATGCTGGAAGAGATCCCATTACTATTATTAAAACAATTCCATGGCAGTGAAATGAGCCCTAAAAAAAATATAAAATAAATAAATAAAAGGTTTTCAGCAAAAACCTCCGAGGCCGAGTGTAAGTTTTCACACGAATGTGTCTCAGACTCCAAGGTTGACGTGCGTGATCAAGTGCAAACTGTTGTTTTTTTGGTTATTAACTCTCTTTGTCGGCCCTCATCATGGCTCCCAAACACAAAACTGATGCAAGTGACAGTAGCGCATCCAAGAAAAGAAAAACAATTACAATGGAAGTGAAAGTTGATGTAATTAAACGTTCTGAAAAAGGCAAAACACCCTCAGTCATTGGTAAGGTGTTGGGCTTCAGACGCTCAATGGTCGGAACAATTTTGAAAGAGAAAATTCTTGAACATGTTAAAGGATCTACACCAATACAGTCAATCTCTACAGCATCTACAGACCAGCATCTACAGAACCAGTCCCATCAACCTCTGGTTAACTGTTCTTCAGATGCTTCTGTCTTTCTTCTTGATGACATGCAAGCTTAAGACTGCAGTCTATTAGTGCTGGTGTTCAATAATATTTCCATGTTCTCCATAATGTTTGAGTATATATGACTCGCTTTCATTGCACTTAAAAATGAAAACGTATGAACTGAATGCTTATTATATAAGGAATTATTGTATTGGCAAGGTAGACTGAGATGGTTTGGGCATCTGGAGAGAATAGACACCAGTTGGGTCACAAGATTCATGAGGCTGAACGTGGAATGGAGGAGAGCTCTGGGTAGCTGTAGCCCACAAATGACATGAGTGACTTTAAGAAATGATCTTAGTGATAAGCACCTGTTAAGATAGGCAGCAATAGACCATGCAGCTTCATGAATTGCTATCAGGTAAACAGCTAACCCACAAAAGCATGAAAAGGTTCATAAAATGATCAACTCATAGACTTGACAATACAATACAAATCACCTGATCCAATAAGTCAATTATATTAACATACGGTAAATAGATATGTACTGTACCTTAATAGTAGACAAAATTTGAGGCTTGGTTCTGATATTTCTAGCTTGTTCTGCATAGTGTAGAGTCTTGATAGTTTCATGCACATTAAAGTTGGCAGGGCTGACACAAGCAATCATTGCTGTGTGGCTATTGCCACCCAAAGAGTCTTTGAGGAGTCTTGTTAATACTGATTCCCTAAAAAATTAATTAATTAATAAATTCCTTCAACAGACTACAGTATTATCTGTTTGTGTTAATTCATATTCAAAAAGGTTAGTCAAAGATTACCTATACAAGTATATACAGTAGAATCCCAGTTATTCGGCACTTACAGAGTTTGAGAGGTGCCGGATAAAGAGTTTTTTCCGGTTAGTTGAAACTCACTCTTAGGATCCCCCAATAAATCCTACAATGCACAGTGCTACAGACGGACCTCACAAATTTGTGTCTCAGAAAAATGGACTTTTACATTTATTCCACTCTACTATAATGGATACACTACAGTAAACCCTTGCTATTCATGGGGCTTCGGTTCCAAGGAATGGCACGAATTGGCAAAACCATGAATAGCAACTTATACTATTTTAGTGCACTACTGTATATCTATAATGTGTATGAGAAGCTTAAGTCACCAATACTACTCTCCTTCATATGTGGAAGTTTGGAGCTTGATGAAGAGTAATGTACAATAGAATGAAATCTGGTTACTGAAGCATAAGGAGATCATCAGGATCACTGTTAGAAGAGGGTGATGCAGTGGTGGTTGGTGGAGAGGCAGGAGGCGGGTGGTGTGTGGCGGGGAGGTGGAACGCCGGGCAGCAGCCAACCAAGTAGGTGAGGGAGACGAATCAGCTGGGCGAGCAGCTGGTTCATTCTTGAAAAACATCGTGATTGGTAGTTTTTTCCTCTTGACTTTGAGAGTTCCAAAAGCTTCGCTCCACTAGCATCACTAGCACTGACACTACGCAGTCTTTTAGGGGCCATTTCACACAGAAACACGAACATTTTGAGTACAAGACAAGAGATGCTGTGTCGCAGGCATTGGTTGAGCGCAAACAAAGGGGGAGAGGAGACGCTTCAGTCGCATGGGGGTGACTCGCTGCGCTGCTGAAGAGGCTCGTAAGTTAACCACCATCTGCTTACCAAAAAAATCGAAATTGCAAATCACAAACCCACAAATAGCAAGGGTTTACTCTATAACCTCATTAATTTAACAAAAATGGGCTCTGGGTCACAAGTTACTGAAAATCAGAATTAACCAAGTTCGGAATATTTTCACATTCAACAATTTCCAAATTTTTGTGTTCAATTATTTGTTCATTTTCTGTTCAGTTTTTCAGATTCCCATGCCTTGGCTGCCAAATAAAATATTCTATTTATAATTATTGTGCAATCATAAATAAAGTATCTTTTAAATGTACACATACCAAAACAATAAAGTAAATAATACAGTAATAAATAAATGTAACACACTGTGAGGTGATCTGACGAGTCGAGGGGTGAAGAAACAAGGCAAGAGGTGAAGTGACGGTGCAGGAGATGAGATGACATGACAAGGTACTTAAACAGCACACATATTAACAGCGCTACTAAACCACTGTCTTATAACATTATACTGTCTTTTTTTTAATTAATTAATACATGATGGCTTTATTTAGCTACTTTTGCACTTAGACAAATGATCAGTGAATAAACCAGGGCATATGGAGCCATATTATATACTAAAATAATATTAAGTTCTGAAAAATATGCTACAATATTATTTACTAAGTGCTCAAGACAGATCCTGTGGTAAGCACCAACCCCCTTGAGCAGTGATAACAATGGTGCATGAGAGATGGTGAGTGCTGGCAACATTGTTAGGGAGAGCAGAAAGGATCAGCTTTTACCTCCCTGTAAACAAGAGACCGGGAATATATTACAGTGCAATAGCTCATCTAGGATTGAGGGCATAATATTATTATTTTTTTAAGGGAATTAATTATTTTTTGATAATATTTTATTAATCTGGCACCAAATGAACCTAAATAAACCATTTTTTTTTTCTAAAAAAGTTTTTGTGATAAAGTCCAGAATGCGATGTCTAGCTTTATTCCTAGGTATGTAACTGCCTAGCATTAACTCGCCAGGCCAACATACGGGCAATTAAAACATCTAATAATTACTTAAATACGTAATATTAGAAGGACACATCACTACCTGGCATTTAATTGCAATTCTCAAAATCCCCTCTCGCACCCTCCATCACACGCATTGCTACCGTCATCTCTTGCCCTAGAGCGAGCAGTAAACAAATGTCAACTCTCAAGGGGTGGAGATGGGTGGGATGTCGACGTTGCATTCTGGACTGCAGCTACTCCCTGACTTACGACCACCCGGACATACGACCGCCTCAGTCGTACCAAAATTTTGTCAAATTACATATTTTCGAGTCCCAACGTCAGTGATTGCGCCGAGTACTGACAAAATTTTCGTTTGTAATTCCCTTTAAAATGGTTGGCAAGCTTAAAAGTGAGAGTTTTGTGGTGCTGAGAAGAAAAAAAGACACCCATTTTAGATTTTCTATGTATTATTTAAGCATTTTCGACTTACAACCTGGATTTGGGTCCCTAACCCCGTCATAAGTTGGGGAGCAGCTGTATATCACAAAAACTGGATTTTAGCTAAACAAGCTAATTTCATTTTAGAGCACTCATATTTTGAGGGATCACCAAGTTCTCTATTTGTTGCCAATCAGGATGCACAGACATCACCGCTTCACTTAATCATGCTTGAGTGATGATGCCTGAGTGAGCATCAAGTCACCCAGAAGGGTCGACAGTGCTGAGATGCTACCATAGCGCTCCACTGGCTAACATCGTTCACCATTACTCTAGCAAGATGTATTGGGCTGAGAATTCCACCCTGAATGGTTCTCATATAACCCATACTGAGGATACAAGTTCCTTCCCAACATAACTCTAGATTGCTAGTAAGACCGGAAGGTCAGCGTCCGGAAGGATCACTAAGACTAGCAGCCTCGCTAAAGTTCGCCTGGAAAGGCTGAACCCGCTACTGAGGACATGAATAAATTAGAGTTATGAAGAGAAAAATTTAACTCTGGCCTTCATGCTGAGAGTAATTATAAAACCCAGGGAGGAAGCCCGAAAAGTTTCGTGAACAAACATGCGAAGAGGGAGAGATGGCCACATATATCATGGTATTCATACTTGCACGTGTATAATTGGGACAAAGAAAACTTTATATACAGTATGTACAGTACAGAGTTGGCTTGTGTTTGGGCATTATGAACAAGTATGAGAGTTTTAAGCGCACTAAATTGACACTCACGAGAGGCAGGTGTTACTCTGACAACACCCACGCGGCAACTGAAGACAGAGAGGTGGGATGGCGGGAGTGAAGCTTTGGCTAACTAACTAAAGCACCAATGAACACTAGACTCGGGAACAACAGGCTGTTTCAATATCAAGGAACACCAGACTTGGCAGCTGACACACCATCCTGGGAACACCAAACTTGGCAGCAGACGCCACATTGCTACCCTCACTTGACAATCCAACACCTACATAAACAAACACCAAAAATATTAGTTACAGTATTAAATCTTTTCCATTATCTTCACCAGTGCCGGATTTAGACCTGTGGAAGCACATGGGCAGCCTCTTTGTGGAGGCCTCCCCTCATTATAACTACCCAAAAGGGTGGGGTTGTGAGTGAAGTGAGCCTAAACATCTGGGAGTTCCGGGGGGCGCTGTAAGCCCCCGGGAAAACTTTGAAATTTGAATACTTCCTTGGAGAATTTTGAAGCCATATGCAGTTATATTGAGGAAATTAGAACATATTGTAATATATGGAGGCCCCTGGGCAGCTGCCCACTTTGCCCACTCCTGAATCCAGCCCTGATCTTCACTTCACTTTTAACGTCACTAACAACCCATTTACACTCGCTTTAGAAATTGGAATCTGCATCAGACTCGGCAGCTGATGCACCATCCCGAGAACAACAGACGACACACTGCCACCCTCACTTAACAATCATAAACGAACAAACCTTAAAATATTAGTTACAGTGTTAAATCTTTTCCATTAAGCTTTCCACTATCTTCACTTCACTTTTCACGTCACTAACGACTCAAATACACTCACCTTAAAAGACGTAATCTGCAGCAGAGTCGGCTGCTTTCTCATCACTCATTCAGAAAGACTGAGCGGGCGAGAGTGAATACGTGAGTGAGCAGCCACGTTGGTGCCTCTGGTGAGCAAATAACGCATTTTTTTTTCATGGCGGTACATTTGAAATATTTCCTACCCAATTTCCCATGCGAAATAAAAAATTTATCGCTACATATAGGAAAATTTTGATAATCTTGGAAGCTGCGATATAAAAAAATCGTTATATAAAGTCGCAATATATCCCGACCCTACTGTTCTCTAATGTGGCTTTGAAATACAGAAAAAATAAAATAAAACATGAGAATGAAGAGCATGGGTGTGTATGTGTGAGAAATAAGCATGTGTGGAGACAGTTACAGCCAAGGCCTTGGCTATAAATACATTACTGTCTCGCCAGCCTCGTATATTGTTACTTGTAATGAAACTATAAAAGCTGTGGAAGAAATTACAATACACTAATGTGTCTTAGAAATAATGAAAATACATTATAATATAAAATCATAAAATAAGAGAAATGAAGAGCATGGGTGTGTATGTATGTGGACGCAGTGAGCAATAATTATGTGCTCCTCCCAATGTGACGTCACGGCACACACACACACGGCGGAGAGCGGCAGCCACACGTCTATGAGTCATCTGGTTGATTGTTTGGCTGAAGTGGGTCGTGCCACCCAGATGATGGTTTGAGAGTGGAAGGAACTATTTTTTGGACAAAATATGTCATGTTGTATTTTATGATATGTATTGATTTTATTTTTTATCATAGCAATAAATATGGCAGTTCATTCCCATTGTGCACGGTAATCAAACTTATGTTTCTAGCTGATTTTGGAATTTTTATTTTTATTATTATTTCATTTTGGTGCCAGTTAGTTGAATCTACCAGTTAGCCAGATACAGGATAACTGGGAGTCTACTGTATTTAAGTAAAAACATTATTGTAAACCAGGATCTCCAAGTCAGAGACCAAAACTTCTATCCCATACCAAAATAAACACTGAAAATATTGTCATGTAACAATGAACACTGAAACTATTAAGTCGTCAACAATAATGAACACTGAAACTATTAAGTCATCAACAATAATGAACACTGAAACTATTAAGTCATCAACAATAATGAACACTGAAACTATTAAGTCATCACCAACAATGAACACAAACTATTAAGTCATCACTAACAATGAACACAAACTATTAAGTCATCACCAACAATGAACACAAACTATTAAGTCATCACTAACAATGAACACAAACTATTAAGTCATCACCAACAATGAACACAAACTATTAAGTCATCACCAACAATGAACACAAACTATTAAGTCATCACCAACAATGAACACAAACTATTAAGTCATCACTAACAATGAACACAAACTATTAAGTCATCATCAACAATGAAAACCTTAACTATTAAGTCATCACCAACAATGAACACAAACTATTAAGTCATCACTAACAATGAAAACCTTAACTATTTAGTCATCACTAACAATGACCACAAACTATTAAGTAGTCAGTGACAACACATAATGATGAGTGGCACTGATAAATGAATACAACAACTACATACCAACAATGAAGAACAAAAGCAATAACTATTGCATGTAGTATCAGATCAACAGCAGCAATAGCCTGAACTGAAATTTGAGTAATATTACCAACTAAATCTTGTGCTTCAAAAAAAAAAAATAAATAAAGCCAAACTGTGTGTTTGTTAATGAAAATTATCTAAAGCGTTATACCTGTGTATCCCTAAATCTACAAGCATGAAAGTGATTAAATTTGTTTAAACTCTACACTATGGTAGCAACCTCTACATATCATCCTATCTTGTCATTTTTTTTGTATGATGTGTTTGATCATTGTTAATAATACTGTACAGTATTAACAAATGGCCAAATTTTAATTCATTAATTATATTTTACGGACCTGTAAGGAACATAACCAGCTGTAGGGTTACTGAGAGCAGCCAAAACCTTGCTGAGTGCCAGGAGACCTTTATTAATGTTGACCCCCTCAGTAAACTGCCGGCCAGACATCTGTGTTCGACCGACACCCTCGGCTCCAGCCAGATCAACCAGCTTTAAGCACGAATGATGATAACCTTTCTGTAATAAATAAATTAGTATATCAATTACTATACAGTACAGTATACAGTTGAACTTCAATTTACGCGGTTCTCATTTACGCGTTTGGTCATTTACGCGGTACCTTGCCAAAACCGGGATGCCCGATTTACGCGGTGAATTTACTCATTTACGCGAGTGAAGTATAATTTGTTTATTTACTGAAGATATACAGTATATGTTTTTAGCTCATAAAATATATAATTTACATTGCTTGAATCCTTACAAAATGGTGATCATTTTAAATATAAACATCTTAACATTTGCATTAGACGTACATATTTTAGATGTAATTTAAGGAGATCATGAAAATAAACAAATATTTTATCGTTTGTGCAAAATATATGACGTTTACATTCAAAATATTTCCTGACCTGCAAGGAATCCATAAATGTCAATTATATTATCCTAACTTTAGTCTGAGGTATTATTTATTACTAAAAATGTAAATATACTGTTTTCTCCCAAACATTTCTCTGGTACGGAGGGAAGGTGGGGGGTAGGGGTGGGGGGTAGGGGTGGGGGGTAGGGGTGGGGAGGGAGGGAGGGACCCAGCAAGCGTGGGAAGAGGGGTGGAGGTGGGGTATTTTGATTGACAGATAGTGTCTGGGTGAATAATAATTTGTTTATTTACTGAAGATATTTGTTTTAGCTCATAAAATTCATACAAATTACCCAGCCAGAATATAATTTACATTGCTGGAATTCGCATAAGATTTTTATTATTTTAAATATAAACATCATGGAATTTGCATTAGACATACAAATTTTAGGTCTAATTTAAGAATTATCATTACAAAGCCAAAATTTTATCTTTTGTGCAAAATATATGATGTTTAAATTCAAAATATTCCTGGCCTTGCAAGGAATCCAGCAATGTCAATTATATTATCCTACCTTTATTCTGAGGTATTATTTATTACTATACCTTAAAATCTAGTGTTCTCACCCAAACATTTCTCGGAGAGGGAGGAGCCAGCGACCGTGAGAAGAGGGAGGGGTGGGAGGGGGGAGGAGTTGAGTCCATTATTTGAATGGACATTAACCTGGCGACTGTATTTCTCTTAAATATTAATTGTGCGTGCATACCATCATAAAATTAAGCTATTATTTTTACTACAACGTAGGTATTATGTCGGAAAAAGTGGAGTTTGGGAGTCGGCCCAGTCTCTATTTCAATTAATCCCATATGTTCTGTTATTCCATTTACGTGTTTCTCGTTTTACGCACTACTCTGCGGGTTCAATTGACCGTGTAAATCGGGGTTTTACTGTAGAACAGGTAAACTCGCCACAAAAATTTCTCCAACACTCTTAGGGTCATACAATATGACAAAATCAACAAGAAATCTTAACAATGCTCTATGAGGAATTTTTACTGAAATTAAATTACTACCGCCTGGGAAGATATTGGAAGTATAATGTATCGTCTAATGGTAGACCCTGCTGCCATATGGCATCACAAAAATTGTGACCAAGTCCCAGGTTGCTGATCTGTCTTTCTGCCTCACTTACACACAATTGCAGGGTCTCAATTGTTTCTCTTACTTTGACAACACAACATATATACAGTATATCATTTCTCACTATTGATTTTTTTTTTCTTTTATTTATGGTCCTTTATTATTACCCTGTATTACATTACATTATATTATATTGTATTGTATTTTTTATATTTTAATTATATTATTATTGTTATTATTATTACAGTGGTCCCTCGGTTAACGAGCGCAATACGTTCTAGAAGGTTGCACGTTAACCGAAAAACTCATTAACCGAAACCATTGTTTCAATGGGTTTTTGGGTAATTGGTTCGAGCTCACCGAAAATTGCCTAAATTCAACAAAAAAGGTAGAAAAGTACACTTACTTTGAGGTGTGTATTTAGAAGGCTCCTGGATGATGATGATGGGAATTAGAATGGGGGTGGAGAAGGGAGAAGAGAAGGCATTGGGGTGGAAGAGAAGTCACCCCATGGTGCCATTTCACCCATAAAATTTTAGTTCACTTGGTGTAATTCAAGATTATTTTCTTTAAATCAACACTGCACTGCATTATATATTGTCAATATGTAAAATAAATTTCAAATTGACCAATAATTTGCTTGCAAACACAGAAAAAAAGCATTTAGTTGAAGAGAGTCTCAAGCAAGATGTTACCTCCACTGAAAAGACACAGAGACTGATGCCTGTTAGGTGTGTTAACAGGCTGGATGGCGACTATCACAAGTTGTGACCTTCCCCACACACGGTCAAAACACCCTTGACCTTATCTTAACTGACTTAGCGGACCAGTACCAACCTCCTCAACCACTGCCTCCTGTCGGGTGTAGCACACACTTATCAGTGCTCTGGTCCCCTGCTGCCACTCCCACTCAAGTACAGAGACCCTACATCAAGACCTACAGGCCGATTACTGACTCTGCAGTACGCCTCTTTGGACAGTGGATAGTTCACTATCCCTGGACTGAAGTACTCAGCGTGGATGACGTGGAAACCAAATGGATAAATTATACCAACACCACCACCGAAGCTCACCACCACTTCTTCCCCGAGAAGTCCGTCAGATCTCACCCAGCTGACTTGCCCTGGATCACACCTCGGATCAAAAGACTTATGCAACAGAGAGACAGAGCCTTTCATCTCAATGACCACATCCGCTACAGGTCACTTCGCAACAGAGTCATCCGCGAAATACGCACTGCAAAGAAGTCCCACTACCCAACCAAATTACAACACCTGAAGCAGACCAACATCAGTCAATGGTATGGTAAGCTTAAAGAACTCTGTGGACTAAACAATATGACACACCCCCTCCCCTTCCTTAGCCACCTCACTAATGTTGACGCAGCTGAGCAAACAAATAACCATTTCGCTACTATATGCCAGACGCTCCCACGGCTTGACACAACCACTCTCCCTGCTTACCTACCAGCCCCCCTTCCCACTGACTTAGTAGAGGAATTTGACGTAGCAAAACGCCTGGACAAACTAAAATTAAAACGCTCTACCACCCCCATTGACTTACCAATGAAACTATTCAAGGAGTTCTCCCCGGAGCTTGCTAAACCCCTCTGCTCCATCATCAATGCTTCTCTCAGTCAAGCCAGATGCCCAGCTGACTGGAAGACCTCTTATGTATCACCAGTGCCCAAGTCAACCAGCCCACAATCCTTAAATCAGCTACGACCTATTGCAATCACCCCAATACCCAGCCTAATCTGTGAAAGTTTTGTGTTTGACTGGGCTTATGCTGATATTGCAGGAGTCGTAGACCCTCAGCAATTTGGCAACATGAAAACTTCCTCCACCACTCACTGTCTTGTCAGCTTTCTCGATTACATATACCGCCATCTCGAGAAACGAAAAACGTCTGTAGCTGTCGCCTTCATTGATTTCACTAAAGCGTTCGACCTAGTCGACCACAATATAATCATAAACAAAGCTATTGACCTCGGGCTTCGGAGAAGTCTCATACCATGGCTTACAGACTTCCTCAGTGACCGACGCCAAGCTGTACGCTTCCGAGGGGCTGTCTCCACCTTTCAGTCACTCACCTGTGGCGTCCCCAAGGCACCAAGATGGGACCACTCTGCTTCCTTATGCTCATCAATGATGCCCTAAGAGAAGCCCCTGCTCGCTGGAAATATGTCGACGACTCCACCATTGGGATCAGCGTCAACAATTCCGCTCCCAACTATACCGCCCTTCAGGATTTATTGAACAGTCTCCAAAACTGGGCCACCAACAACCATGTCACCATCAACCATACCAAGACAATGGTTATGCACATCAACCTCTCCTCCGACATTGTCCCACCTCCTTCCATTACCCTAGGTCCGAACACACTCCAGGTTGTAGATTCCACGAAGCTCCTCGGCGTCACCATAGACAACAAACTAAATTGGAAACCACACGTCAGTGAAGTTGTCAAATCCTCCAGTTTCCGTCTCCACCTCCTCCGCCGACTCAAGTCCCTCGGAGTTCCTGCACCCGAGCTCCTCAGTGTTTACACAACATTCATACTTCCCAAGCTCACCTATGCCTCCCCCACCTGGTCTTCCTCCCTAAATGCCACACAACGTAAACACCTAGAAAAAGTGCAAAAGAGGGCATGCAAGATTATTCTCTCCCCTTCCTACTCCACATATCAAGAAGCGCTCAACACACTGACCCTTTCGACTCTCACTGACCATCACCACGGCCTCATCTGCAAATTTGGTAAGAAGCTTCTACACCATCCCCGACACCGGCCCCTACTACCACCTGAGATCCCCTGTCCGAGAATTGCTGTTCGACACCACAACCGCATCCAGCCCATACGTGCACGAACTGATCGCTATAAGAACAGCCCAGTCCCAACCATTGTAAAATTATCAATAACATGTAATAAATCAGTGTATTCACTCCCAGTAAACACTGCTCCCTACACTGTCACTATGTTGAAATGAACTGTATTTTGAGCTGATCCCCATCTAAGTTACTATATGTCTTATTTGTGTCACTTATGTCACTTGTATATATTTGTAATTCGTAACCCATTCCCCAAATATGTAACTGTATATTTTCAGCCTTCTGGCTGCCAAGCTCTTTCAATAAACCGTTAATTATTATTATTATTATTATTATTATTACATAAAACTAGTGACTTTACCTTCAATTATGTTCAATAATTCTTAAAATGACTAAAAAATGTTAATATTAAACTTTTAAAATTATTGAATAGTATAAACTTCTTGATATTTACTAAAATGGTAAGGAATATAAGCCCTAGAACCGATTACTGTATTGGCGGACTAATACTACAGCTGGTGGACCGCCAAATGAAAGCGAAAACATGTTGAGGTCGGCTCGTAAGAAACTCGTTAATCGAGGGATTGCTCGTTAACCGAAGTTAAGAATCTTAAGGAAGGTAACTCGTTAACAGAAATCTCGTTAACCGAGGCCCTTGTCAACTGAGGTACCACTGTATTATTATATTTTCTCCCCCAGGCCCTGATGTGGGTCATTGGTCTGTGTCCGGGTGGGCTAATCCGGCAAAAAAATAAATAAATAAATAAAATAAAAGAATGAATGAATGAATGGAATGAAATAAATAAAAGAATGAATGAAAATTATATATACAGTGGTCCCTCGATTAATGAACATATTTAAAATACAGGTAATGGAAATTACTGTCTCTAGAACGAATGGCTCCCTGTCCCAGCCACGAAAATGCTGGCAACTTTAAAACTACCCACCGACATTCTTGGGTACATCCAGGGTGTCACCTGCGAATAACCGAGAACCGCGAAATAAAAATCCGCAAAATTGGGGGGCCCCTGTACGCTTAACATTAGGGTTTTCAGGAATGCAAGCCCATCGTTTAATGAGGGATACCTTTACTGTACATGGAGCACATTAAATACTTGCAACTGATGCGACGATTATTCAAAATAAACTGTAGATTTCAATTAGCCCATAAAAAAGGAGACTTACCTTTAATATGAGATATATAATAGCATGGGAACGAGATGAATGTTGATTCCCTGCTGTGGCTCCAACACTACGTAGGTGGCTGCCCTTCTTCAAGAGTAGAAGACCTTCTTCAACACTGTTCACAATCTCTTCCTGCACCCCAACCACTGACACAGCTGAAACAGATACCGTACAGTACAAGGAAATCAGGACTGACATTCAAGAAATTCTCCTTAATCCTACCTTTATGGATCACCTGAGGTTTATCCCTAAGTGCTCCCCCTGAAGAGTTGGCCCCTCATTTTAATCAGAAGTTTAATCCTTTCACACTGATTATCTCACTTTATGATTTCATTCTCACTATCCACAAACCAATTTATTCAGCTTAGGGATACTTCCAGGAGCCAAAGGGTGAACCATGCCAAACCTATGTGGTGACCTATAAAGGCTAAAATTTTTTCACTAACAAAATTGTATTTCTTACCTCCCCCGGGTCCAGCTTTAGTCTTCAGTGGTATTCTAGATGGAGCCAAGAGGTCATACACAGTCTCATTATACACCTCCATTATGGAGATTGTTAGGCTCCGTGCAGTATTAGTGAGGTCACCTTGAGTTGCACTTGGGTTCTTGTCCTTACCAAGAAGGGAGTGAATTGCTCGCTGTAAAATGCCTTCATCCTCCTGTAAGCATAATACAGTATATACAGGCGGTCCCCAACTTATGAACGTCCGACTTATGAACGGGGTTAACCTTGAAATTTACAGTATTTAATTTGTTACTTTCATTTACTGTATTTGTCATCCTATTTCTTCTTTTCTCTTAAATTAAGTGATTTTAGATGTATATAAGGACCTAAGCTATGATATACCGGTAGAAGGATTTTAAATATATGCACATAACATGTGTTTTGACTTATGTACAAATCCAACTTAAGAATGTCCTCAGGAACGGAACCCTTTCGTAACCCGGGGATCCCTTATATGTATGTCAATGGCAATTTCAACTTGGCTAAATCAAATGTAGCTTAGACTAAATGAATTACAAAAAAAAAAATTATTGAAGTGATGACAGTGGATTGTAAAAAAAAATAGCCACTTGCACATTTATCTATTGAAACAATCACAATACAGGTGCTCCTGTACTTAAGAACGTTCAACTTACAAACTTTCAGAGATAAAAATATCATCAATGAGGGGGTTTACCTGCCAGAACAGGTGTTTAATGTGGATGAGACTGGATTATTTTAAAGAAAATTCCAGACAGAACAAACATTACCTAAGAAGAGAAGAGTGAGCCAGGTTTTAAGGCTGTGTTAAAGGGTATAGCTGTACTAAATATCCATAATCTTTTCAAGTTGGACTTACAAACAAGCCTGAGGAAAATATCTCGTTCGTAAGTAGACAAGCATCTGTACTGTATTAAACTTTTTCAAAAAAGGTCAAACAATGTGGATAAATATCTATGTGTGTAACGTGAATTTTTTTTTTATTATTTCTTAGGGAGGATATCGGCCACAAGAACATAAAACTGACCTGTGCAAAGCAAGGGCTTGTGCCCATGGTAAAGGTTTTTCCTGATCCTGTCTGACCATAGGCAAATACAGTAGCATTTTCATTTTCCTCCACCTTGGTCACCAAAGGTTCCACAGCCCTCATATACACTTCATCCTGGGAACAATGTTCTTCGAAAACATCATCAAATGTGAACTTTTTCTCAGTACCATCCTCAACCACAACCTGAAAAAAATTAAATCATTATTACCAAGTACTGTGTGTATAAGCATCCCCCGATAAATGATGAGGGTACGTTGCTGAAAAGCCCATTGTTAATGATTACTATAGGAGGGATAATGAGGAATAATATCATTGGAGATAGCATGTGAATGTATAGACGACTCGCCAGTCGCCACCCAGTAGCACTTAAGAGTGGGTGAGTCTGAGCTGTGAGCTATGATATTGTTCAACTCATAATTTCAGGCAGATATAAGCAATTTTTTTCTCTCTTTTTCCTCTCTGTTACATGCACATAAATTGTTCATACAGAATGTTCATAAAATAAAAAATACATATTAAAATAATCATTATAAGGTTAAAAACATAAAGGGATTAAACATTTCTTAAATGCCCAGTTGTTAGCCCACACAGTGGGGAGGGTGGACAGTGCGGGGGAATCTCAGCTGTTTGCTGTCTCATGTCGCGTGTGGAGTGAAACAAATGGCAAATGACAACACAGTATTAATATTTTTATTTACTCCTCACATTTACTGGTACTTGTACTACAATATATTTAAAAAAACAAAAGATCTATATGATAAGGCGTGAATGGAGCTGTGTGTCATAGGAAAGACAAGTATAGTATTTTCCAAGTCTAAAGGACACATCTTGCAGGATCTGTATTTATCTATGCAAATACTGTACCTACCATTCCCCTGCATCACCTACCATTCCCCGGAGTCATCTACCATTCCCTTACATCACCTATCATTCCCCAGATTCATCTACCATTCCCCTGCATCACCTACCATTCCCCTGAGTCATCTATCATTCCCCTGAGTCACCTACCATTCCCCTGCATCACCAACTATTCCCCTGCATCACCTACCATGCCTCTGTCACCTACCATGCCTCTGTGTCACCTACCATAACAATGGGAAAATGCTCTCACAGATAATCAGAAACAAATGAATTAAAAATGTTGAGTCTACCCTCAAGTACACTCCATGCGTTATTAATAACAAAGCACGGAGTGCACTAGAGGGTAAACTCAACATTTTTAATACCTGTACATTTGTTTCTGATTATCTGTGAGAGCATTTTCCCATTGTTATTTATTTGTATGTGTTTTGTGTGTGTCTACACACACACACATATATGAGGGCCTGAGCTGCCACCATTTTATAAGGGCCTGTGTGTCAGTAACAATTCCTTTTACTCTCATACTTATTACCATTGGTAGCGTGACGAGAGGAGGCTCATGGGTAGATGTAATGATAGTAACAAGTAATAGGGAAGAAATAACGGTAAATACTGTAGGTAAATAATAGACACAATATACAAATACAAAATTTATTTAAACATTAATATGAAATTAGGAGAAAGAATTTATATGTATCAACAGACGAAATCTAGTACTAGGCCCTCAGGCTCAACATACTCACACCACTACTGGGTGGACATATTCAATAACACTCCCAACCCTACTGGGTGGACATACTCAATAACACATAACTCTTATAGTCACTTAGCACCATAAAGACCAGGGCAACTGCCACTACAACACTCAGTCATCAGGAGTGATACTCGAGCAACAGCCATGGGGTCCAGCCACCATGGGGTACTTTCCGACGAGCTCTGAAGATCCCAGTGGATTAATCCCACCACACAAATAGCCCTACTGAGTTAGACACTCATCCACCAATGATGGGGGCTGGTAGTGGTGTGTGGCTTGGTGATCCGGGGTCACCTCGCAGGCCGAGCGTTAGGGCCAGACGAGCCAGCTATGGGGTCACAGGTAGTCTGAAGTGTCTGACGGCCGGGTCTCACGAAGGTAACTGATCCTACTGGACCTCGGACATCTCCCCAGACATAGTGGATACAACATCCACCCTACAGACACGGCCTAGGCTGCGTTAGGGACCTGTATGGGTGAAGGGACGGGCACTTACTAACAGTGACAACGACATCACATTTCAGGGGACGTTAAAGACGTAAATATGACTTCACTCAGAGCATATCAACTACGTTACTGTAACACTTGCACCATCAACTATTAATTGGGTCAAATCACTTAAAGAAGGGCGAATTACAACACAGAGTGGAATGGCCTACCTGTATGGGTGAAGGGGACGGGCACTTACTAACCGTAGAAATGCCCGCGGCACCTTCACTCAAAATAGGCCAGGGAGTCCACCTACTTCTATTTCGATGAATTAATTTACTGTACACTCTGACGTTGAAACTGAGACTATGAACTCAGTTTCATTCCCTACTATTATCCTCACTAACAATGCTCTGACTCAGCTATCAAAAGCAAAATTAATTTGATTACAAAAGGTTGGATGGCAACAGGTCCCAACATACAGCGTCTGCTACGAAATCCGTGGATTATATTCAAAGTTCCCTTAAAACAAAGACGGCCTATCGATGACGTCACCCAGGAACAGAGAAAACGGGGGACTCGGAAGGTTTTGTGGACGTTTGAGCGTAATATAAATCCTTAAGGCTTTCAGGTTAGCCGTTATCACGATCATGACACATATATACAATACTGTACAGGTAAAGGAAATTACTGTCTCTAGAATGAATGGCTCCCTGTCCCGGCCACAAAAATGCCAGCAACTTTAAAACTACCCTTAGACATTCTTGGGTACATCCAGGGTGTCACGAGAATTATCGAGGTCCGTGAATTAAAAATTCGCAAATTTGAAGGGCATGGTGTATTATCAATATTTTGACCGGGGGCCAAGCACCAAAAAGGTATAATAAAAAAATGAAGGTAGACTTAAGTCTTAGTTATTATTAGAAAAATTACAGTAAACAATGACTTGTATTACCAATATTACCACCCACCCTCGCTCCCAGCAACCTCCTCCTCTCTCTATTTCCCACCATTGATGTGATAAGACTCGTCACTTGAACAGGCCGGAACTTGACACACCAAGTGCCACCAACCCTCACCCCTATCCTCCTTGCCCTCCCTTCTCTCTATTTCACTTATTTTTCTCTCAATGGCCCTCACTCCCTCCTTTCTGCCAGTTGGAAAATAAAAAAAAAGCTTCAATTGTTATTACATAGCATTCCTAGGACATTTTTGTAGAAACATGGACTCCCATTAGCGAATAAACTGTAAAATAATGAGTCGCTATGAGCGAGAGAAGCTACGATTGGAGGCCACTGGCACTTGTCCCCTTCTCCCCCTCAGTCCGCCTCGAGGCACTTTTACCTACCTTCATTAACACAGTATGGCTCTCAGCCTTACAAATATTGTGCTACCAGTACAGTTTGTGCTTCAGCACATAGAAAAAAGGTTGGGGAGTACAGATAATACTAAAATTAAATTTGGAGGAGGGGGGGGGGTGGCATTTGGTACCTTGTTGCACTTGACATCTCATATATGACATTGCGTTCACCCATTGTTATCTCCCATAGGCTCAATTCTATCTAGCACATCTCCAGAATTAAAAATATTAGTGTTTACCTAAAAGCATTTAAATTTTTTTAATTAAAAAAAAATATTGTCATTGTCTTTGTCTTTTAATACAGTAACTAATACCTGCGGAGTTAGTAATTATTAGAGGTTTTAATTGCCTGTATGTTGGCCTGGCGAGTTAATGCAAGGCATATACATATGCAGGTACAAAGCTAGATGTCTTATTCTGGACTTTATCACAAAAAGTTTTTTTTATAAAAAAAAAATGTTTTTCCTCCTGTAGCTATAGTTTTCTTAAAATAACATACAGGTATATAGTATCAGTAAATGTGAGGAATAAATATAAAATAATACCAATAAATAATAATAAAAAAAAATGTACAGATATTTACAATTGGATGCTGGGCAACGAAATTTGTCAATACTGTACTGTACTCTCGTTTCACTACACACGTGATGGCTCAGAACGTCTGATATCCTTCACTCCTCCCTGCTCTTAACATTTCCAAAGTTCATTCCTTTTATGTTTTTGACTTTATGTTGATTATTTAAGAATCTTATTTCTTTTACACATTCTGTATGTAAGAGTGAGAGAGCATAAAAAAAAGTATCTACCCAAAATTAGGAGTTGAAAAATAACCACAACAGTTCACAGCTTGGCCTGGAGTGGTAGGGAAAGGCTAAGGAGATGTGACTATTGTGACAAGTCTTGTGTTACTATCACAAAAATGTAAAACTAATATAAAATACTGAAAAATACGTAAAATTAAAAGGCAAGGAATTTTATCACTGCTGTAAAGTAACGGCCTACATGGTAAGTCAATGGGCTGAAACAAACTCTCAACTCCCTGTACCTCCTTTACCAGCATTCATAAACCGTATCTTCCTTACTTATGTTATTTAACAATTATGTTACTTCAAACAAAATTTATATAATATTAAAAAAAATGCAACTAAATCCAGTAAATTAAAGACAAATGAAAGTTTTAACACAATTCCCATTTGTGTACACTTCCTGCTTTGTCATAGTAATGCAGACCAGCAGGGACACTACCTCTGCCATCTCCTTAGCAGTGTTCTCCCCCTTACACTCTGCACCCTCCTCCCACTCCCCTCTGAGCCAGATAACTCTGGTGCAAAGAAGGATGTGCTATAACGGGTTATTCTAATGTGACCGACATCCACAGAGAAACGGTGGGCACCACGGGCAAGACGTGTGTTAAGAGCCCATGGCCTTGCCGGCGGTACACAGGATGCCAAATCCACCGAACATTGCCTGTTACAGTACCTGTAAAAGAGAGAGTGAAGCAACATTGCGGCTAAGAGAAAGGGAAGAGAGATTATCAAGTAAAGGAGAGTTAATAAGACAAAATGCCTTTGATTCCACCCTATCTAACGGTTGGACAGAAGAAGAGCCACCCCAGATATGAGAGCAGTACTCCAAGTTAGGACGAATGAATCCCTTATAAACTTGAAGCAACTGCTCAGGAGTGAAGTAGCTACGGCATCTGTACTGCATTCCCAGCTTTCGGGAGGCAGCTTTAACAATGTTGTGGATGAGTGGATTCCATGACATATTAGAGGAAATGGTGAGGCCTAGCATATCTATTTTTGAATTTGGCAAAATGGTTGGGCCCTGAAATGTGATTGGTTGAAGATCTTTTATTTTGGAATAAAAAGCAAAGAAATTTGACCAGGGTCTTCAAACATCACTGGATGGAGAAGGGTTGGGGTAAAAGACATTTAGATGGACACTAGCGATCTGTGAGTTGATACACACTATAAACTTGAAATGTTTTGAAATGCTTATGTAACCTTTCGAAAAAAAATAAAATAAAAAAAAAATAAAATAAAAAAAAAAGGCCATTTAGTTTTCCTCCAAAAAAAATCCTCTAATCAAGTAAATTTCAAGAGTCACATACCCAGGGCAAGAATAACAAACTGTGTGTGTTTGCTCTTGGGGAAAGAGCATTTTATACTAAGATTTGTATACCTTTTTATATTGGGAAGAGACAGCCAATATATTTGTCGCACCTTGATGTTCTTCTCCTCCCAGCATTGGACGTGTCCGAACATACACCTTTACAGATGCATTTCTGGCTAATCCAGTACAGACCTGTGGGGTTCCAGGGGTCACCAACATACTCCTGAAAAAGCCAAACAATAGCTGTAAACAAACTACTCTGTGTGTGTGTGTGTGCCAGGAGATTTTAGTCAGAACTCTGCACATGGGAGGCACAGATAAGATGGTCATTTATGCATTGGGATCTAGACAGCAGTGCAATCCGGTCCTGTCTGTACGAGGGGCGAGAAAAGATGTGCCCTAAACATAGCCTACCTAAAGCACCAACCTGACTGGGTAACCGCCAGGGGTGCAGTGCTGCCGGAGCTCACCTGAGCGCCGCTCTAGCACCTCTGGTTTGACCAATCAATCAATATCGCCGACGCCTTGTTCCCTCCCGGGAACTCCCCAACAGGGGTTGGCCATGGCAGAAATGTCTCCAGGCCATTTTATCCTTGCACACAAAGCTTGCTCTCTCAAACACTCTTCCTCCCCTTCCCACTCTCTCTTCAAGAAACTCAATAACTCTTTTCTCCCATATATACTGTATATATATATATATATATATATATATATATATATATATATACAGCTAGACCCCGACTTACGACTACGGGACTTACGTCCCATTGGTACTTACGACCTGCTGACCGTACGTCCGTGGGACATACGACTGCGACCGTCGTGACCAAAAATATTTTCAAATGACGCGCGCATTTTCTATACCGAAACGTTTCCGTCCCGGGCGAGAGGTGGGCGTCTTGGGTCGCCTCGTGGGTACACTCACTCAGTGGAGCGCTTTGTTGGTGTTTGGCTATCGTATCCTATACTGATCGCGCTGTGAACTTTCGTTATTATCGTATTTAATTGACTTTATAATGACTGGAAAGCGTAAAAGTGAGAGTGCTGGTGGTGTTCCAAGGAAAAGGAGACAGGCAATTACTTTTGAGATGAAAATGAAGATAATAACACAGTATGAGAATGGAAAAACAGTAGCAACAATCTCACGCGACCTAGGTTTCTCACACTCGACTATATCCACTATTCTGAAGGACAAGGAACGTATTCGTGAAGTAGTGAAAGGAACAACACCTATAAAGGGAACTATAATATCAAAGAAAGACAAGGTCCTATTCACGATATGGAAAAATTATTGGTGATATGGATAGAAGACCAGATACAGAAGCGTGTACCCTTAAGCGTTCTAACCATACAGGCTAAAGCAAGAAGCCTGTTCCAAAGCCTGAAGGAGCAGGCAGGAGATGAATGTGATCAAACCTTTACAGGAAGTCATGGGTGGTTTGATAGATTTAAAAAACGCTACAGTCTACACAATGTTAAGGTGAGTGGAGAGGCAGCTAGTGCCGATGTTGGTGCTGCCGAAGCTTTTAAGGAGGAGTTAGATGATGATTGTGGAAGGGAATTATTTGCCTGAGCAAATATTCTGGATGAGACTGGATTATTGTGGAAGCGCATGCCTGAGCGGACATACATCCACAAAGAGGCGAAAACAATGCCCAAGGCATTCAAGGACAGAATTACACTTCTGTTGGGGGGAATGTTGCTGGTTTCAAGCTAAAGCCCTTCATGATCTATCATTCAGAGAACCCCAGGGCTTTTAAACATGTCAGCAAGCACACACTGCCAGTGTTTTATCGCAGTAACAAGAAAGCCTGTATGACCCTAGTACTGTTTGAGGATTGGTTCATGACTTGTTTCATTCCACGAGCCAAGGAGTATTGTCTGCAACAACAGATTCCATTCAAGATTTTACTGATTTTGGATAATGCTCCAGGACACCCACCACACCTGGACGACATGCACCCTGATGTTAAGGTACTGTACATTCCACCTAACACTTCCTCTATCATCCAACCCATGGATCAAGGTGCTATTGCTGCCTTTAAAGCGTATTATTTACGCACAACCTTCGCTCAGGCTGTTGCTACTACTGAAGGTGAGAAAACGCTCAAACAGTTTTGGAAGGAGTACAACATTTTGTCATGTATAAAGAACATTAGTGCAGCATGGGATCAGGTTACAAAACATTGCATGAATGGAATATGGAAGAAAATCCTGAAAAGATATGTGCACAGTTTCAAAGGATTTAATGAAAATGAAGTTATTTCGGATATTAGTAACAAGATAGTGGAGTTTGGTAAACAGCTGGAGTTAGAAATTGATACTGAAGATGTTGGACAGTTGATTGAAAGTGTAGCAGAAGAGCTCAGTAACGAGGATCTTACTGAACTAGATGCACAGAAAATTGTAGAAGAAGAAGAGAGACAAAATGTAGAAGAAGAACCTGCACTCCCCCAAAAAGTTTTCAGTGAAACAAATGGCAGAGGCATTTGCTACAATTAAAAAAGCAATGCAAATGTTTGATGACATGGATCAAAATTATGAGCGTTATGCCAAAGTTGACAGAATGGTCCAAGATGCACTTGCTTGTTACAGAGAAATTTATAATGAAAAGAAAAAGCAAACTGTGCAGTCTAAATTGGACATCTATTTCAAGAAGTCCCCCAGTGCTGTCTCCTAATGCCCCACCAGTGCTGCCTCTTCACTCCCTCAAGATGAACCAATACCTTCAACCAGCAAGTTTTCACAGCACATAAACCTGTCTGAAGAAAGCGACATTGATGACCCACCCAGCCCTGTCTCCTCTTCTGCTTCTTCCAATTAATATAGTCTCCATGTATCCTGTAAATAGAAAATTATGGGGGCCCTGTGTGCATTCAGCTGACTACGTACATTTAAGGTAAGTGCTCAGTCACACTGTATCCATTCCTCATTATTTAATACTTTTACTGTACTGTGTCCATTCCTCACTATTTATTACGTTTAGTGTACTGTATTTCATTGTAGATTTTTTTTTATATCCATGTCGGACTTACGACCTGGATTTGGGTCCCTAACCCCGTCTTAAGTCGGGGTCTAGCTGTGTATATCTATCTATCTATCTATCTATCTATCTATCTATCTATCTATCTATCTATCTATCTATCTATCTATCTATCTATCTATCTATCTATCTATCTATCTATCTATCTATCTATCTATCTATCTATCTATATCTATCTATCTATCTATCTATCTATCTATCTATCTATCTATCTATCTATCTATCTATCTATCTATCTATATCTATCTATCTATATATATATATATATATATATATATATATATATATATATATATATATATATATATATATATATATATATATATATATATATATATATATATATATATATATATATATAGTGGTCCCTCGGTTAACGAGCACAATCCGTTCCAGCAGGTTGCTTGTTAACCAAAAAACTCGTTAACCGAAACCATTGTTTCAATGGGTTTTTGGGTAATTGGTTCCAGCTCACCAAAAATTGCCTAAATTCAACATAAAAGGTAGAAAAGTACACTTACTTTGAGGTGTGTATGTAGAACGCTCCTGGATGATGATGATGGGAATTAGAATGGGGGTGGAGGAGAAGGAAGAAGAGAAGGCATTGGGGTGGAAGAGAAGTCACTCCATGGCACCATTTCACCCATAAAATTTTAGCTCTCTTGGTGTAATTCAAGATTATTTTCTTTAAATCAACACTGCACTGCATTATATATTGTCAATATGTAAAATATATTTCAAAATGACCAATAATTTGCTTGGAAACACAGAAAAAAAGCGTTTAGTTGAAGAGAGTCTCAAGCAAGACGTTACCTCCACTGAAAACAGAGAGAGACTAATGCCTGTCTGGTGTGTTAACAGGCTGGATGGCACGCCAGAAACTAGTTTCTTTACCTTCAATTATGTTCAATAATTCTTAAAATGACTAAAAAAGTTAATATTAAACTTTTAAAATTGTTGAATAGTATAAACTTCTTGATATTTACTAAAATAGTAAGGAATTTAAGCCCTAAAACCGATTACTGTATTGGCGGACTAATACTACAGCTGGTGGACCGCCAAATGCAAGCGAAAACATGTTGAAGTCGGCTCTTAAAAAACTCGTTTATCGAGGGATTGCTCGTTAACAGAAGTTAAGATCTTATGGAAGGTAAATCGTTAACCGAAATCTTGTTAACCGAGGGACCACTGTACATGTATATATATAGTCAACCCTCGCTTTACGCGGTCCCACTTTACGCGTTTCCACGTTTATGCGGTACCCTGCCGAACACGGAATGCTCACTTTCCGCGGTGTGTGTACCCTTTTACGCGGAGAGCGGCGCGAGCAGGGTGCGCACAAGGTCACCCAGTCATCAAAACATTACCGAGTTCTTCACCCGCCACCCACCACAGCCGGCCCAAGTCAGTGATAGTGATAATGATAGTGAGGATATGGACTTATATGGACTTTGGGGGGTTTGACAAAGAGGCCCTGCAAGCCTCTGTGGTAGATAGTGATACAAGTGATACAGGTGAGGGCCAATAATCTGCCCTCTGCCTCGGAACCAACCCCCCATCACCGTGTGCCCAGCCATCTTTTCTACTAATGTAAGTGTTAAAAAACCTAATATTATTGATATTTCTCTTAATTATTAATTGTGTGTGCATACCATCATAAAATTAAGAAGTTATTTTTACTACAACGTAGGTATTGTGTCTGAAAAAGTGGAGTTTGGAGGTCGGCCCGGTCTCTATTTCATTTAATCCCATATGTTATGTTGTTCACTTTACGTGGGCCGCCATGGGTTCAATTGACCGCTCCTGCAGTTTATTTAAATCCTCCTGTAGTGCATTTGCATCCTACCCTGAATTAACCTGCCGCCCTATTTTGGTGTCATCCGCAAACTTGCTGATGTCACTGCTGATCCCAGTGTCTAGATTGTTTATGTAGATTATGAACAAGAGTGGGCCCAGTATACTGACCCCTGGGGAACCCCACTGGTTATACAGCACCATTCAGATTTAACACCATCTACACTGACCCTGTGTTCTATTTTATCCAATTTAAAACTTTCCCCTCGATACCATGAGCCTTTACTTTTCTCAGAAGCCTCTGCTGCGATACTGTCAAACGCTTTGCTAAAGTCTTAAGCAAATAACATCGTAATTTTCGTCATTATCTACTACCTCGAAGACTT